TTTACATTTCCAACATACATTTGAAATACAGGTAGTCCTTAATTTACGATGATTCAATTAGTGACCGTTTGAAGTTACAATGGAACTGAAAACCTCATTAGTTACTTTATGCAGTTCCGAGGTAACTTCAGTCACTAAATGAACCATTGTAAGTCGAGGACTACCTCCCAAAGGGCATAAATGTAAATTGCTCTGCATCCACATCCTGTTGAAAAATTCATAAAAACAGAGCATTCCCCTTGCTAAGAAAGTCCAGTTTATCCTTCGTACTACCCATTATGTCAGAATTTCCTGCATTTGCATTCCTTTCCAATTTTTTTTCTGGCAAATCTTTAACTTTCATACCAACTTAGAAACTAATTTACAGATTAGTCCCCAATTTACAGATCTTCGTTTAGTGACCATGTAGATGTTTGACAACTGACTACAACTGAGAGTTGTAGCGTCCCAGGGTCACGCAATCCCCTTTTACGACCTTCGGACAAGCCATGTCCAATGGAAAACCCGGTTTCACTTAAAAAACATGACTAACTTAACAATGGCAGTGATTTGCTTGGCAGCTGTGGCCAGAAAGCTGATAAACTGAGGTGACACTGACAAATGTCTCACTTAGCGACAGAAATGTTGGGCTCTGTCACGATCGTAACTCAAGGATTAGCTGTATGTGATGACTTTCTGTTGGATCACTTAATTGGGGATTCATATTTTCGGGGTCAAATTTGTTGAAGATCGATCAATCAGAACAGAGCTAAAAGGGACCTTTCGAGGTCTTCTAGACTAACCCCTCCTGCTCAAGCAAGAAACCTGATACCCTTTCAAGTCTTTTCTTTAAAAATTCAAATTCAGGGTTCCAATTCAGGGTTGTTAAAAGTGAATCGCTGCAGTTGTGAAGTGAGTCACACGGTCGTTAAGCGAATCTGGCTTTCCCCGTTGACTTTGCTCATCAGAAGGTCGCAAAAGGGGGACTGCCTGACCCCCGGGATGCTGCAACTGTCATAAACATGAGTCAGTTGGCAGAGGTCTGAATTTTGATCATGCTGCAAACGGTCGTAAGTGTGAAAAAGTCCCTTTTTCCAGTGCTGTTGTTGCTTTGGTCACTAAATGAACTGTCATAAATCAAGGACTGTCCGTAGACTTTTGCATTTTTTTTAATATAACTTTAAAAACAAGGCAATTTTTAAAGGTTCACCGAGTGAAAGGTTTGTTTTTTTTAATCAGTTGTTTATTGAGATTATTTCTATAAACATAAATCCCTTCCAGTCAAGAATCAGAATCAGAATAGAGCCGGAAGGGGCCTTTAAGGTCTTGTAGTCCAGCCCCAGCTCTACCATTTCAGACAAGTGACTGTCCAGTCTCTCCTTAAAAAACAAAATCAATATAATATTGCAAGACAAAAACCTAGCTAAACAGTTCATCTCCTTAAGAGGAGCCAACGATAAATTGTGAATAGGAAATGTTATTTTGAAAGAAAAAAAATATCTGTAGCTCAGAATTGAACTATGCGAAGGCACTGGTCCTCTGGGGAGTGTGCTGCTGCCCTCTGGAGGCAGCTCTATGTAATTACTCCGACTTGAAAACGTTTATCGAAGTTGGAGGAAGAGAGAGACACATGTCAGAGACCATAAAGCAAAAGAACATGTGTAGCTGTTTTTCCGATGACGCGTGTTTTCTTAAAGCTTATACCTAGCTTAAACATAGGCATTTCAACGAAGCTTATCAAGGAACATACCTGATTTGTAGACTTTGAAAGGAAAAAAGGCTTTCTTAAAAACACTATTTTTTTTATTTTTATTATTTTTTTATTTATATGCCGCCCTTCTCCGGAGACTCAGGGCGGCTTACAATGCATTAAGCAATAGCCTTCATATTTTTGTATGTTTATACAAAGTCAGCTTATTGCCCCCACAAACTGGGTCCTCATTTCACCTACCTTAGAAAGGATGGAAGGCTGAGTCAACCTTGAGCCTGGGGAGATTCGAACTTACAGTAATTGCAGACAGCTGGCGTTAATCACAATGCTATCAGTCTGCTGAGCCACCAGGCCCGTACTAGTCCCTGTTGTTATGACAGGCGGTCATTTCAGCGTCGGATCAGTGTCTTTCGATCTTAGCGACTTTAAGACTTCCACTCCCAGAATTCCCTGGACACGCATGCATTAGATTTCAGCTTTCCAAATCCTACATCCAGCATGCCTGGATCTCAAGTCCCAGAATTCCCCAGCCATGGAAGTGGACTTCAACTTCCCCAACTGATCTGGTTCCTCCTTGAGCAGAAACTTTCTAGTCTACAATACAATTCCTTTCACAATGAATAGGAATAGGAATATAATCATACACCTGGAAGGGACCTTAGAGGTCTTCTAGTCCAGCCCCCGGTAAGGGTAGGAGCCCTTATATTTTGCACGCACCCGCATTTTTGCAAGCTTTGTTAGTGCTAGCAACCGCATTCCAGATGGTTGTGAGAAAATAAAAATTTCCTTTAACTAGCCTTTGCAAGGGAGAAAAAAACCCCCACAGTAGGCGGTTTTGCCCTTATTAAAAATTAAATTTCTTTAAGAAACTCCTGATGCCTCCCTTTTCGGCTTCTTGCAAAATTGGGCTTTTGCTGATCTGGCAGTGGCCATCTTTGGAACAGGAAGATCCATTTCAAAATGCCTCCGGCTCGGAACCAAAGTCAGTTGAAAAGAAGGCCCGATGGAGTTTTGGGGTGTTTTCCCCCCCATCATGCTGATTGGGGAATTCTGGGAATTGAAGTCCAGCCCTCTATATTAAAAGATCCAAGTTTGAGAAGCACCGTTCTAAGAAGTCAGGAATAAAATCCACTTTTTTTCCCAAATTTTAAACCTTCTTTCAAGCAAAGGACAAATACTGTGGACATAATATACTTAAGACTTCAGCAAGGCATTTGACAAAGTAGACCACAACCTACTTCTCCATAAGCTAGAAAAAAGTGGGATGGATAGCTTCACCACCAGATGGATTCACAACTGGCTGACAAACCGTACTCAATGAGTAGTCCTTAATGGGTCCAAGTCTACATGGAGAGAAGTAAGGAGTGAGGTGCCACAAGGTTCCGTCTTACGCCAGGACTCTTCAATATCTTCATGAACGACTTAGATGAGGGAATAGAAGGAGAACTCATCAAATTTGCAGATGATACTAAGCTGGCAGGAATAGCCGACACCCTAGAAGATAGGCTCAAGGTCCAGATGGATCTTGACAGACTTGAACCCTGGGCCCTATCTCACAAAATGGAATTCAATGCAGAGAAAAATAAAGTCCTACAGTTAGGCAAGAGAAATCAAAAGTACACATACAGACTGGGGAAAACCAGGCTTAATATCAGTAACTGTGAGAGGGATATTGGAGTCTTAGTGGACAACCAGCTCAATAGGAGCCAGCTGTGTGCAGCGGCAGCCAAAAAAGTCAACGCAATCCTAAATTGCATTAGCAGAGGGATACGATCAAGATCAAGGGAGGTACTAATACCACCCTATAAAGTCCTAGTAAGGCCACACTTAAGAGTACTGCATCCAATTTTGGTCACCACACTATAAAAAAGACGTTGAGACTCTAGAAAAAGTGCAGAGAAGAGCAACCAGGATGATGAGGGGACTGGGGGATAAAACATACGATGAACGGTTGCAGGAACTGGGCCTGGCTGGTCTAGGGAAGAGAAGGACCAGGGGAGACAGGAGAGCATCTTCCAATATTTGAGGGGCTGCCACAGAGAGGAGGAAGGGGGTCAAGCTGTTCTCCAAAGCACCTGAAGGCCAGACAAGGAATAATGGATGGAAACTGATCAAGGAGAGATTCAACCTGGAAATAAGGAGGAATTTTTTGACAGTGAGAACCATCAATCCATGGAACAGAAGTTCCCCTTGGAAGTTGTGGGAGCTTCATCACTGGAGGCTTTCAAGAAGAGACTGGACTGCCATCTGTCAGAACTGGTGTAGATTGGGGGGGTTGGACTAGATGACCTACAAGGTCCCTTCTAACTGGTAATCTGTTAAACTGATGCTTGTATTAGTAAACTCTCTGACTGAAGCCCCAAAAGAAATTACTGGATTTATTAATCTGGCCCCCGACAGTGAACAATTCACTGAAATTGAAACAATCCACTTCTTTTAGAGAAATTTCAAGGACAACCAAGCCCTTTCCAGATTCTTGCAATTTTTTTTTCTGTTTCACTTTCCATGGAAAATCACCATGAATCTAGAAAAATAAAGTAGAACTTTTTGCAAAGGCTCTGAATCCACTTTTTAAGATTTTCTATGCTGTTTTCTTGAAAAAGGGGCACTTCAGTAGTTCAGGTTTTAAGGGGGACTCTGGATTTTTTTTTAAAGGTTTATTTGCTAGGAAATACTTTTGAGCCCCAGAAAAGAGAGATGTATATAGCCAAATAAAATGAAATAAAACCAGCAAGATACACTTCTTTTCTCTTTTGTCTCGTTTCTTTCTTTTGTTTCATTTTCTCTTTCCTTCTCCTTCTCTTCTTTCTCCTCTATTTTTTTTCTTCTTCCTTCTTCTTTCCCCCCTCCTTCTCTTCTCTTCCTTTTTCCTCTTCCCTTCTTCCTTTTCTTTCTCTGCTTTCTTCTCTTCTCACTTTTCTTTTCCTTCCCTTTCTTCTCCTTCCTTTTTCTCTTCTTTCTTTTCTCCTTTCCTCTACCTCTTTATCTTTTCTTCTCTTATCCTTCATTTTTCTTTCTTCCCCTTCGCTTCTTCTTTTTTTCTCTTTTTCATTCCTCTCTTCTCTTCTTTCTTACTCTCTCCTTCCTTCTTCTCTCCCCCCCACCCCAAAGATCCACTTTGGACCAGTCTGAGCGCGAAGACCCTTTGAAGGGATTCCCCGGTGTGCAAAATTTTAGGAGGGGGAAAAGGGGGGGGGCTCTTGCAAAAGGCCAGTCGGGCAGCTCGCCTGCCCCACCCCGTGCCAGGCGCTTGCAGAGGCGGGCAGCAGCGCCACCCCCGCGGGCTCCAGCAGACGGAGGGCAGGGCAGGGCCGGGGGGCGGGTAGGCAGCCGGTTGGGGCCTCCTCTTCCTCGGCGGCCGGGACCCACAGCCATTCAGCCCCCGTTGCTGCCAAGCAAGCCAGAGAGGGACTACCAGCCCAGCGACAGCAGGTAAGGCGCCCGCGGGCGCCAGCTCCTCTTCTGGCCGGAAGGGCGGGGCAGCCCCTCCGCGCCCCCTACCCGCTTTGGGGGGGCTCGGAGGGGGCTCCCGTTCACCAGGCAGGTCCTTTGCAACCATCCCCGCGTTTTGCACGGAGGGGCCCGTTGCCCGGGCTTGGGGCGGCGTCGTTCTTGCCCCAGAGATCGGGGGGCGCATTTGCAACCGGCCTTTTACCGCTTGCATGGCGAAGAGCCTTTCTCCTTCCAGGGGGCTTTGGGTCCCGAAGCGGAAGATGGAGCGGGGCTTGCAATGCACCCAGCAGCTCACTTCGGGGTGCGCCCCAAGAGCCCCAATTCGCCCCACTCATGATTTGGGGTGCAAGACACCCCATCTTCCCTGGCGCCATTTTGCAAAGAGGCTCAACGCCAGAAAAAAACTCTCGCATTGCTGAAGCCAAAATTTGGTCTCTGAATTCCCGCGGGGAGTCTTGGCCGGAAACGGATCTCGCGTACACACGTGCAATTCCGTGGACCGAGGTCCATAGAGCGGCGTGCTTAAGCGCACTAACTTGCCTATCGTCCCTGTCGTTGTATTTTTATATTATTCCTGTTTTTGTTTTGACAAATTATAATAAAATAAAATTTAAAAAATCTGCAGGCATGCACCCGGAATGCGGGTCAGCGCTGTGCTAGGGAATGGGGTCGTGGGGAAGAGGCCTGGGTCCCCAACACGAGAGATTCCAGTTCGTTTCGAATAAATTTCTCATCCTTTTTTCCTTTCATCATTACCCTTGCAAAAAATTCCCAGATGGGTTGGGGGAAAGCACTTGAGATAAAGCTTGAATTAAATTTAAAATACTTTAATTTTATCTATAATTTTATATTTGATACTTCAGATATAAATTGATACTACTTTTAATTAATATGGGCCAAATTTGTTTAATATACTTTTAAATTGTTTTAAATTTTATATTTTTATGTTTTTATTTTTGGCTGTACACCGCCCTGAGTCCTTCGGGAGAAGGGCTGTATATGAATTTAAATAATAAATAAATAAATAAATAAAGCTTTGAGACATGCAGTCTAAAATTTGCGGTAAGAAGCCAAACAATTAAAATCATTTCATGATTTTGGGAGGAAAAAAAAAGAGTGGAACTGTCCAAAACATTGTTAATGCAGTGCTTTTTTCAACCTTAGGAAGCTTGGGAGATGTGTGGACTACAACTCCCAGAATCCCCTTGGCTGGGGGGGGGATTCTGGGAGTTGAAGTCCACACATCTCCAAGCTGGGTAACCAACACTCTGCCAACAGCAAACAATAGAAGATTGTTTGTTAAGCCAAGCGACCGTTAAGTCAGTCGCCCCCAATTTTATGACTTTCTGTCGTGGTTGTTAAGTGAATCGTGCGGTCATTAAATGAATCCAGCTTCCGCCCTTGACTTTGCTTGTCAGAAGCCAGGTGGGAAGGTTGCAAAGGGCAATCATGGGACCCCAGGATGCTGCGACCGTCATAAGTGCAAGAACCGGTCCTGAGACACTTTTTTTTCAGTGCTGTAACTTCGAACCGTCACTAAATGAATCTCCTTGTTAAGTCAAGGACTACCTGTACGTCGGTTGTTAAGACTTAGAAGGTGAGGCGTAATATGCCCCCCCCCCCACAATGAGCATCCCCTAACAGAGATTGTTCAGCTGCCTTAGACTACACAAGATCCCATCAATCAGGAGAATTCTCTTTAGAAGGGACCCTAGAGGTCATCTAGGCTGACCCCCCCCGCTCATTTCTTCCTCTAGCCCGGAGGTCGGCAACGTCCCTCCCTCCTCGCCTGCCCTGAGAAGAGAAGAGCGGGGCTGCAGCCGATGCTGCGTGTTGTAATGGGCTCCAGGAGGAGGAGGAGGAGGATGGGACGCCATCTCCCCCCATTGTGCAGTGCGCTAAGTTTAAAGGCAAGAGCAGAAAGCAGACACGGAGGTGGCAAGAGGAAGATGGGGAAGATGCCCCCCAGCCGGAGAAAGTTGCGCATCTCCTCCTCCTTCCTCTCTCCGCCTCTGTGGCTGCTTTCTGCTCTTGCATTTACTTACTCTACTTACTTTATTTGATTTGTATACCGCCCTACTCCCGAAGGACTCAGGGCGGTGAACAGCCAAACAATAAAAATACATAGATACAAAATTTAAAAACAAAGTAAAATCGAATTAAACAATTTGGCCCAGACAGATTATAACACCCCAATCATTTAAAAACCGATTAAAATTTGCGTAATTAAAAAGAGGGAAAAGATTAGGCCAGGCCCGCCTGGTGGAATAAAAAAGTCTTGAGAGCGCGGCGGAAGGTGCGCAGGTCCGGGATCCTCCGTATCTCCGGGGGGAGCTCGTTCCAGATCGTCGGTGCCCCCACAGAGAAGGCTCTCCCCCTGGGGGCCGCCAGTCGACATTGTTTGGCCGATGGCACCCGGAGGAGCCCCTCTCTATGGGAGCGTACCGGCCGGTGGGAGGCTATTGGTGGTAGTAGGTTTAGTAAACAGCGCACTGCACAATGGGGGGAGACATGTTGTCCCATCCTCCTCCTCCTCCTCTTGGAGCCCATCACGATGTGGAGCATGGGTTGGGGTGGCCCAACGGGTGTCTCGGGGTGGAGAAAGTTGCGCATCTCCCAACCAGGGCCGGAAAAAAAGACTAAGCAGAGGGACACTTCGCTTCCGCGCTCTGAAATACGGAGCGAGTCTCCATCCGCCTCCACCGCCCTTCTCTTCTCAGGGCAGGCCAGGAGGGAGAGTGGGGGGGGGGGACGGAGACAGCCAGCTGACAGGGAACCACAGCAGGGGGACAAAAGAGTTTCATTTATCCTGAAATGACTTGATTTAAAATTAAATTGTATGGTAAAAAGCACCCGAAGAAGAAAGGAAGAAAAAAAAACCCAATTCTCACCTGTTTTTGGAAATGGTCCTCCCCACCACACACACGAGAGAGAGACAGAGACAGAGAGAGAGAGAAGGGAGGGAAGGAGGGAGGGAGGGAGGGAGGGAGAAAGAGGTGAAAGGGAGAGGGAGAAAGAGAAGGAGAAAGATGAGAGGGAGGGAGGGAAGGAGAAAGATGAGAGAGGGAGAAATAAAGGGAGGGAGAAAGGCGAAAGGGAGAAAGAGAAGGAGAAAGATGAGAGGGAGAAAGAAAGAGAAGGAGAAAGATGAGAGAGGGAGAAAGAAAGAAGGAGAAAGATGAGGGAGAAAAAAGGGAGAGGGAAGGAGGGAGGGAAAAAGAAAGGGAGAAAGTGGCGAAAGGGAGAGGGAGAAAGAGAGGGAGAAAGAAAGGGAGAAAAATGAGAAAGTGTAAGAGGGAGAAAGAGAAGGAGAAAGGAGAGAGAAAGGGAGAAAGAGGTGAAAGGGAGAGGGAGAAAGAGAGAAGGAGAAAGGAGAGGGAGAGGGAGAAAGAGAGAGAGAGAGAGACCTGTTTAAAAGAAAATACCTGGAGCCACAAAACCTGGGGAGGTGAGGCTGGGGAGGGGGTGTCATGTGACTGGGTGGGAGTGAATGATGTCGAGTTGGCCACGCCCACTCAGGTTTTGTGGCTCCCGGTGTTTTGTTTTCTGTGGGAAAAGGACCCAAGTGGCTCTTTGAGTGTTTAAGGTTGCAGACCCCTGAGTCTAACCTTAACCTTTTTCCTTGGAGCTGTAACTCTTAGACCCTAAAATAATCATTTTAGAGGCAAGATTTTCTTTCTTTCTTTCTTTCTTTCTTTCTTTCTTTCTTTCTTTCTTTCTTTCTTTCTTTCTTTCTTTCTTTCTTTCTTTCTTTCTTTCTTTCTTTCTTTCTTTTTGCTACGGTTCCCCAGATGATTTTTTTTTTAAACAGTTACAAGTAGTCCTCGAATTACGACGACAATCGGGACAGGAACTTCCATCCCTCAAAGATATATAAGTAACATACCACCTCAATTTCCGTGGCTAATCAAGGCGGTTGTTATGTGAGCTTTGCCCCGTTTTACAACCTGTTTTGATACCGTTGTTAAGCGAATTACAGCAGTTGTTAAGTGAATCATGCAGTCATTAAGCGAATCCGGTTTCCTCCTTATTTGTCAGAAGGCCCCGCAACACTGCAACCGTCATAAGTACATGCCAGTGGCCAGGTATCTGAATATGTCACTTTTTCCAGGGCCGTTGTAAGTTCAAACGGTCACTAAATGAGCTTTTGCAATGCAGACAACTTATTTTTGAAAGTTTGTGATTTTTCTTTCTTTTTTTCTTTTTCTCTGCCTTTTGCTAGACGTCCTGGAGATGACACTGCACAACCTTGGACCACAACTTTAGTCGTCCACAAGTCAGAAAAGACCCCACGGACCTTCAAACCCATTAGGGACCACCCCACATCTAGCCTAACCCCACACCCCACCTGTCTTTCCTCCATCTGAATTTTCACAGTCCCCCTGCACCACGTTTTGGCCCGGGACTCCCATGTTTTCCTCAGCCGCGGCGAACGAGCGATGGAGCGTCCAGTTTGACCCTTCCCCATCTACTTCATCTGTGGTATCTCTGAGCGTAGTTCCTGGACGCAAACGAAAAGCGAACTTCTCCAACGATGAGACGGAAGCCTTGGTCTGGAATGTAGTCCGGCATTTTAGCGCCTTGTACGGCTCCGAAACTTTCCGGGCGCACCCCGTACGCCGCAAGCAGCTCTGGACCCAAATTCAAAGCCGCGTCAACCTTCTTGGCTACACCGAGCGCTCGATCGACGATCTGAAGCACAAATGGCGGGATCTACGGCTGGACGTCAAGAAGAAGATCAGCGCCAAGAAGCCTCCGGCTGTCCACCAGGCTGGAACCCCCTACAAACCACAGTTGACTCCTCTGGAGAAGATGGTGGCTTCCACGTTCCTTCAGCCTACCCATGATCCAGAACCGGAGATCGTCCTGGACCCCGGTGAGCGGAGAAAATTTGGGCCTTAAGTATAGGGAGCGTCATTTCAGGGTAGTTGCGGGACAGTCAGAAGGGTCTCCCAGAATTCCCAGTCAGCATCTGGGCTGGGGGATTCTGGGAGTGGAAGCCCTCCCCTCTTAAAGCATCCCGGCTGGGAGATTCTGGGAGTTGGAAGTCCACACCTCTCCAAGCTGCCAAAGTTGAGAAACTATGATCCAGATTGTTAAGGAATCAAATCTCAACTTTGAAGGGACCCTTTAAGGTCATCTAGTCTAACCCCTTCCTTGGCACGGTCCCTAAATTCAACGTCACTGTCCAGTGACCGTCCTCGTGCAGTGAAGGTCTTCCGCATCCTGGATTAGTCATTCCACTAGCAAACTGCTGTGAGAATCCTAGAATGGAAACTGCGCCCTGAGGTCATCTAGTCCACCCCCCCAAAGGATTACAACATCCCTGAGGGATGACTGTCCAAGGCATATTCAGTGAGGGGGGAACTGCTGGGCCCAATGGGGAGGACCACTGTTAAGTGTGTGGAAACATTGGAAGTCCTTTTGTTTCAGTTTGAATTTAAAAAGTGGGAGGAAATGTCATTATCTTGATTTTAGCTGGGGCAGATAGCTGTGAAAAGGGGAGTGAAAGAGGAATAAGCAGACAGGTTGTCCTTGACTTAAAACCGCAATTGAGCCCAACATTTCTGTTGCTAAATGAGACAGTGGTTAAGTGAGTTTTGTCCCCTTTCAGATCCTTTCTTCCCCACCCTTGTTAAATTAATCCCTGCAGTTATTCAGCTAGTTGTTAATTGTTCAGTGATCATTGTTAAGAGAATCTGGCTTCCCCATTGACGTGACCCCCGAACACAGCAACTGTTTTAAGTACATGTCAGTTTCCAAGCACTTGAATTTTGATCACCTGACTCCCAGGATGCTGCAACAGTCGTTAAATGTGAATAACACTAGATGAGAGAGAGAGAGATGATAGATGGATGGATGGATGGATGGATGGATGGATGGATGGATGGATGGATGATAGATAGATTAGATAGATAGATAGATATAGACAAGTGATAGATGATAGATAGATAGATATGATAGATAGATATGATAGATAGATATGATAGATAGATATGATAGATAGATATAGACAAGTGATAGATGATAGATAGATAGATAATATTAGATATAGATAGATTATAGATAGATTAGATAATATTAGATATAGACAAGTGATAGATGATAGATAGATAGATTAGATGATAGATAGATTAGATAGATAGATAGATAGATAGATAGATAGATAGATAGATAGATAGATAGATAGATGATAGATATAAATAGAGGGAGAGAGATAGGGGATGGATGGCTGGATAGATAGATAGATAGATAGATAGATAGATAGATAGATAGATAGATAGATATAGACAAGTGCTATATGATATAGATAGAAATATAGATACTGTAGATTAGAGATAGATATAGATATAGATAGAAATAGATAGATAGATAGATAGATAGATAGATAGATAGATAGATAGATAGATAGATATAGATAAATAGAGGGAGAGATAGGTGATGGATGGATGGATGGTAGATGGATGGATAGATAAATGGTATGGGATGATGGATGGGAAGATAAATAGACGAGAGAGAGAAAGAGAGAGAGAGAGAGAGAGTAAAAACTGGTCATAAGTCACTTGTAACTTCAAACAGTCACTAAACGAATAGTCATAACATTGGTGGACATGCCCCCTGTTGCGTCATCCTGGAGTTACATGATCTCTATTTGTGACCTTCCCATCCGGCCTCCACCCAGCAAACTCTAATGGAGGAAGCCGGATTCCCTTGGTAGTACAGGGGTTTAAGGCACCCTGTTATTAAGCTTATTAAGACCAGCTGCCTGCAATTACTGCAGGGTTCGAATCTCGCCGAGGCTCAAGGTTGACTCAGCCTTCCATCCTTTCTAAGGTAGGTGAAATGAGGACCCAGTTTGTGGGGGCAATAAGCTGACTTTGTATAAATATATACAAAAGTATGAAGGCTATTGCTTAGCGCATTGAAAGCCGCCCTGAGTCTCCGGAGAAGGGCGGCATATAAATCAAATTAAAAAAAAAACAAAAAACGAACGCATGATTTAACAGCTGCTGCGATCCACTTCACAACCAGGACAAAGATAAAGCCGTAACTTTGGGTGCAACTCCCTCAAGGACCGCCTTACTTAACGATGGAAATTCTGCTCCTGATGACGGTTGTAAATTGAGGACTCCCTGCATTCTCAGATTGTAGGCGGATTAGAAGTTTGCAAGACAAAAATAATGTGGCGGTTGTTGCAAAACAACAGCAGTTTGGAAACAAGGGTGGGTGGCAGATGGTGGATACCCCAAAAATCACAAACTCGGGGTGATCTTGTTTTGCAGAGATTTACTTCCCAGGAACCTCCCAACGGAGGTTTGGGTCCATGAAGGCTGCCACCAGCCACTCTGGTATTTATATCCACACCAACGGGCAGCCGTCCACTCTGCCAGAAATGGAGGGGTTCATTGGACCCCACCTGGGTGTCCGGAGTCCAGACCTGTCACTAATTGGAGACTACAGCAGAGGCGAAGAGCAGAGCAGCTCTGGTAAGTCCTCCAAGGCAACTGGACGCTGCCTAGACGGTCCACCAGGGAAGCGAGGCTGCTGTTCTAGGATCGTAGTGTTCGAAGGGGACTTCAGGGTTCATCTAGTCCAGCGGTCCCCAACCTTTGTGGCTTGGCAGCCTGGCTTGGGGAGGGGGGGAAGGAACTGAGCCACATGAGTGGTGGTCTACTGCAGGGGTCTCCAACCTTGGCAACTTTAAGCCTGGCGGACTTCAACTCCCAGAATTCCCCAGCCAGCTTTGCCAGGCTTAAAGTTGCCAAGGTTGGAGACCCCTGGTCTGCTGCACCCCTCGTGTAAATCAACTCACGAACGGTGGGCAGGCATGGGCATGTATGCGCCAGTTGGCTACTCATGCGTATGAAGCTGCATAGGTGTGCGCTGCCCGGCCGCAGGTGAGACCCACCACTCATGCGGACCAGTTCCTGATAAGCTGCAACCCACGAGCGGTCCGAGGGTTGGGGGGAGTCCTCTGCTTAGTGCAGGCTCTGTGCTGGGCTCAAGCCCCCTTCTCTTGGCATCCACCTCCCCACTATATCTGCCACAGAGACATCCGTTAAAGCAGGAGTCAGCAACCTGCGTCTCTGGAGCCAAATGTGGCTCTTTCACCCTTCTCTGCTGCGCCTCCCTGTCACTCAAAATGTGCGACACCTGCCGGCACGCGATTTATTGAGCTTTTCAACCCCTCCAGTAGGCCAACCATGGATAAATCCAAGAAAAGAAAAGTTTCAGAAGAAAACAGTTTAATTCGACTACATAGGCTCGTTTTGTAGCCGCTCCAAGAAATAGTCAGGCATGGGAAGGGTTTTTGTGGCTCCCGGTGTTTTCTTTTCTGTGGGAAACGGGTCCAAGTGGCTCTTTGAGTGTTTAAGGTTGCAGACCCCTGCGTTAAAGTGGCAGTCCCTGACTTATAACCCTAAAGTGTCAGGCAGTCCCTGACTTACAACTGTTTGTTTAGCGATAGTTCAAAGTTACGCTCGGAGGGTGTGAGACCAAAGTAGAGAGGTTGAATTGACTTATTTGTGTATCCGCCTTTATTATTTTGACAACAAACTCCAGGTGGTGAACAAATCCAACATAACTTACTCCTCTGATTTTCCCCACAACAGTCCTGTGAGGTGGGTTGGTTGAAATAGAGTGATTGGCCCAAAGTCACCCAGCCAGCTTTCATGCTTAAGGCAGGACTAGAACTCACTGTCTCCTGGTGACTGGCTCATTGTCACCCATCTGCTTTCATGCTTAAAGTGGGATTCGAACTCACTACCTCCCAGTGATTGGCCGAAAGTCACCCAGCTCACTTTCATACCTAAAGTGGGACTAGAACCCATCATCTCCTGGGATGGGAGCCAGTGGTGAAATCTAAAATTTGTTACTACTAGTTCTGTGGACATGGCTTGGTTGGGGTGGGGGGTGGGGGTGTAATGTGACTGGGTGGGCGTGGCCATTTTTTTTTTTTTTTACTTTTAAAACCATTTTTTCTACAACCTCTTCAGTGAAGAGGTTGTAAAAAAATGTTTTCAAAAGGCTCTCATAATCCCAGTTTGGATCGTCAGAGGCATTTAAAAGAAAAAAAAGCCTCCGATGATTGCGCGGCTCAGCTGGGCATGGGGGGGGGCAGGGATTTTTGCTACCGGTTCTCCGAACCACCCGCCTCCATCGCTACCAGATCGGGCGATCCAGTCCGAACCGGGAGCATTTCACTCCTGACAGGTCAACTTTGTTTCCTTCTCTCCTCCAGCTGACTCTGGTCCGGAGCTGCAGATTCCCGAACCGTCGACTGTCTCACCCCCACTGAGAAATGACTCCCGGGTTTCCTACACTTCCGAAGAGGAGGACGCGGAAGACCCGGATGGGGATGAGGGTCTCGATCCACAGCTCTCAGCCGAGGAGGACCTGAAGTTCTCCAACCGGCAGGGAATGCTCCTCCATCGCTGGAGTTCGCAGGGATCGCTCGCATCTGAGCCAGAGGACACGCTTACTCGGGCGGGTGGTCACTCTGAGTGCGGTCACGACAGGAGTGCTGACCTTCCAGTCCTGAGACCCCAAACAGAGGAGGAAGAGTCAGAGCCCCCCAATACTGATCTAGGCTCCTTCCCACGGGGACTGATTGGTCCGGCGTGGGAGAAGCAGCCGTACGAGGATCAGCAGCAGCAGCCATCTGTATCTCCACTCGGCACGGGGACTCTAACAGAGGAGTCCCTGCCTCCTATATCACCTTGCACAGAGGGGGTATCTCCTTCGCACTCCTTGCCGTGGAGAATTGGGGGCTCCCGCCTGCGGGAGAACCGCCGAGAACCTTGCAGGGCCACTCTCTATCGCTTAATGGAGATGGAAGACCAGTGGGACCAGCTCTACCACCATGAGTTAGCTGTGTGGCAAGAGGAACGAGCCCAGCAACGGGAGGAGCGGGTTAGAGACAGGGACCTCCAGTTGCAGCTGCTGACTGTCCTCACCGAGATCCGTGACGAGCTGCGGTGTTTGAGGCAGGAACGGGCAGCTTCCCGCCAGGAACGTGCTTCACAAACCGGCGCGGAGCTCACTTTGCCATGCCTGTCTCCGAAACCCGAGGCATCACTTCCCAAGCCGTCATCTGAACATGTCCCACTGTTCTACCCCGGCAAAACCGAATCATGCCTCGTGGGAGCATCTTTGCTGAATGGTGGGCGGGGAGAGAGGGGTATTGGGCTCAGAAGTCCTCAGGGTATACCCCAGCGGGGCAGGGGGCGTCCCCGAGGGTCCGCGTCTCGTCACAAAAGGTTGTTGGTGAGCAACAGATAGGTGGGATGAGCACTTGCAAAACCCAGGATTAACGGACATGTCATGTGTGAGGACACTTGGGCATGCTATGTGCCCCGAACAGCCAGGGTATCCAGCGAATGTGGAAGTCATCGGGGACTGTTTTCTCGCACAAGTCTAACATCAGAACACGTGGTTGCAGCGTCCCTGTAGTCACATAATCAAATGCAAGACGCTTGGCAACTGGCATGGACTTATGACAGTTGCAGTGTCCCAGGGTCATGTGATTTCTCTTTTGCGACCTTCTGGTTTGTCAGATTCCCCAAATCAATGGAGAAACCAGATTTGCTTCACAGCCATGTTACTGGCAACTGCAGCGATTCATTTAACAACACAAAATGGGGCAAAGCCCACTTAACACTCTTGCGTAGCTGTGGAAATTTGGGCATAATTGTGGTCCTAAGTCGAGGAATATATCAAGGCAGAACAAAATCAATTGTATCCCAAAACTATGCCGATTTCAAAGATGGCCGCAGTGTGACATATTTTACACATCTGGTAATTTTGTCCTCTGGGAGTCCGTGAAGACACCGTCAAATCCTCCGGTCAAATAAAACCAGGGAAGAGATGGCATAGATGGGCACGCATGGATAGGCGTGTAAGTGCAAAAGGTGTCCCTCCGAACAGATCTGCTGTCCAAGTGTGTCTCCATGGCAGGATAAATTCTTAATGACTGTTTTTGAGTTTCTCAACATTCATTTCATGAAGTAATATGCATATATCCATGTATGTATGTGTATATGTGTGTAAGACCCAAAAATAAGACTGAACTGGAAAATAAGCCCTAGCGTGATTTTTCAGGATGCTCGTAATATAAGCCCTACCCCCAAAATAAGCCCGTTAAGATCATTAACAGAGGAGTTTAGTACTGCATTTTCCCCAAAATAAGACCTAACCAGAAATTAGGTCATAATGCGTCTTTTGGAGCAAAAATTAATATAAGACCCGGTTTTATTTTGGGGAAAACGTGTATATGACTATGTATGTATATATGTGTGTGTGTATGTGTGTATGTATGTAGTCTTGTTTAGCCTGACTAGGTGGCTCAGTGGCTAAGATGCTGAGTTTGTCAATCAGAAAGGTTGGCAGTTGGGCGGTTTGAATCCCTAGAACAGGTCTCCTGCTGAGCAGGGGGTTGGACTAGATGGCCTCCAAGGTCCCTTCCATCTCTACTGGTGTATGTATATGTATATATAAATATAGGTCTTTGGTTATTCGGGTTTTCTCCCACGTAAAATTGGAAGTGTCTTGGCGACGTTTCGACGGTCTCATTCGTCATCTTCAGGCTGGTGTTTTCGGCTTCGTGCTTCTAGGAGCAATGTGTGATTGCAGACATTGAAGAATGCTCCTAGAAGCACGAAGCCGAAAACACCAGCCTGAAGATGACGAATGAGACTTTGTTGAAACGTCGCCAAGACACTTCCAATTTTACGCGGGAGAAAACCCGAATAACCAAAGACCTACATACAAACACCCGCGAAAACCTCAGAAAACAAATATATAAATATATATATATATAATCTGTAAATTTTTTTTAGAAGAAAAAGCACCAATAAAACCTTCCTGTGTGGAGTTTTATTTATGAGTCTCGCTGATTGTCTTTCCTGTTTCTTCTATCTAGGCTCACGGGGTTTCTGGGAGTTGAAGTCCACAGGTCTTAAAAGTGGCCAAGCTTGAAAAACTTAGCACTACAGATGGTCAGTCTTCCCCTCATAACTCTTCATTTAGTTAACTTTTTTTCTCCACTGGAAAAAAGTGGCTTACGACCGGTCCTCACACTTATGACTGCACGGTCAGTCACGTGATCAAAATTTGGGAGCTTGACCAATAGCATGTATTTAAGACGGGGGCAGCTTCCTGGGGTCATGTGATCACCATTTTGTGACTTTCCTAGCCGCCTTCGTACAAGTGAAGTCAATAGGGGAATCTGGCTTTCCTTAATGACCTGTGATTCACTTAACAACCATGGCAAAAAAAAAGAAGATAAAATCAAACATGGATCACTTAAGTAATGAATTTTGATCATGTGACCATGGGGATGTCAATGTGAGAAACAGTCCTAAGTCAACTCTTTTCAGTGCTGCTGTAACTGGTCACTAAACGAATGGTCACAAGTTGAGGACTGCCTGCATCTGGAATGAAATGCTGTTTCTCTAGTTATCCATTCCATAGTGAAATCTAGTTCTTAGTTCAGCCTGTCAACTCACAAAAAATGCTTGATTTCTGAGCTGGGTGGGTCAGACTAGATGATCTCAAGGACTCTAGGACACTTCTATCATTGGTGGTTGAAAAATATATTATTGTAAGGAAAGTCATAGGGCCAGCAAATATAGGTAGTCCTCAATATAACAACCTTTCATTTAGTAACCATTTAAAATTTGTATGCTTGGCAACTGTTCATATTTATGACGGTTGCAGTGACCCAGAGTTTTTGCGACCTCCTGACCAGCAAACTCAATGGGCAAGCCAGATTTACTCAACAACCATGTGGCTAACTTAAAAACCGCAGTGATTCACTTAACAACGGCGGACAAACAATGTTCACAAAATAGGGCAAAACTCAACCGTCTCCCTTAGCAACGAAAAGTTTGGGCTCCGTTGTAAGTCGAGGACTTCCTGTACTAATATTGCCAGAATTTGGAATTCATACACACAGAAAGGACTTCCATCTATGCTTTTATTGACAATTACATTTACGCTACAATGAATTGGCATTTCAAATTCATCCAGAACCATGGCAAACAGTCTTCTCTTTGTTTGCAATTCATCCAAAATTAAAGAACATTATTTTGAAGTCAGCCATGAAAATGTCTTTTTTTTTCCTACAACTTTTTTACGGGTTGTAGTGTAGTAATCAGTCAAAATTAGCCACAAAATGGTGAGGACCTTAAATTAGGCTTTGGGGAAGGGATAGAAGGATTTGGGTGGGCTGAGGTTAAAAAAAAAGAAAGAAAAAAAGTCAAGTTGTCCACATGTGCTGGAGTCAGGTCCCAAACACCCTTGCCACCCCTAATTTTTGATTTCTTAGAACAACATTTCTCAACTGGACTATTGGAGGACAGTCCGTTCTGGACTTCAACTCCCAGAATTCATAGCTGGCAGGGGAATTCTGGGAATTGAAGTCCACCCCATCTTCCAGCTGTCCAGGTGGAGAAACATTGTCTTAAGACATTGGTGAAATAGATCCGTACGTCATCGTTCCTTCTATCATACCAGATTTATCACAGAATATTTACAAATCTAGCTAAGGCACAAAGTAAAATTGCTGGTGTACATTATGGCTATTATCCATCCTCAAGCCGGTGCCCACAGGCAGAGCATATCAAGCTGCTTCGGGATCCGGGGTGCAAGTGAGAAGCAAATAAAAGGCAACTTCATTCGTGGTGTCTTCCTGGTGTACAGCTGTATATACAGTTCACGTGTATTTCCCAGTGTCTGCCGAGGGGCTGACGAAAAAGGCATTTCTCACAACATCTGGAACAAGCATATTTTGCATAGTGTTCCAGATGGGCAGAGAGGCCGAGCGAAGTTCCAAACCTCTCACGCAGGAGTGGCGTTTGAAACCCCTTGTTGCGGTATCTCTTGAACCTGCAGCAGTCAAAAACAAAAAAAACTGCCTGTCTTTTGCAAAAAAGCTACTTGGGCTCCTCCGGCCTGGATTGTTCCCCGCCATCCGAATCGGGAGCGACAGTGATTTTTTTGATCATGCAAAAGCAATCATTGTCGCCCGCTGGCTTCCCGCAGTTGGGACACTTGATGTCTTCCTCAAGCTTGTAGTGCTGTTTTTTGTGCCTCACTGCCGCGCTCCGAAAGTTGAAGACTTTCCCGCACCACATACACTTGTACCTTTGTCCCTCGTGGAAGGCACGGTGTGTGGGTATGTAACACTTGCTTAAATTCTTGCCGCATTTGTCGCATGGATATAGCGTCGAGCCTTTAGAAGTGCTCGGACGCCGAACCGGTGCGACACACGGTTCTTGTGTTTCCTCATTGTCGGAGAGCCCCTTTGCGGCTAAGCCCTGGGACTCTGGGGGCAGGTGGTTTTCCCCAGGCACGTTTTCCGTGCAACTTCGCAGGTGAGCCATGAATTGCCACTTGTACACAAACTTTTCCTCGCATTCCAGACACCGCCACAGCTTCTTCATCGCACAGGTCGTCGCCGCCAATTTGCGCACTCTCTCGGTGGTACCCCTTCTGGCGTCAAACATGTCTTTGTACTTTACCACTCTCTGTCTCTGTTGAAGTTGCCATAGTCTGCAATCCGAGAAGGCCCTCTCGCCATCGTTGGACGATGGGCCTTGGGCAGGCTTTTGTGGGAGGAGGACAGAATCCGCCGAGTCCCCAGTGCTGCCTGACCCACTTGCGTCCAGCTCAGAGGGAACCTTCAGGCCTTTCAAGAGAAGCCTGGGCTGATTTTGCTTCTGACGACAATACCTATAATGCACTTCCAAGTTAATCTGCAGTTTGAATGGTTCTTTGCACCAAGCACAAAAGTAGCGTTTTCTCTCCTCGGTGGGGGCTGCCAGGGGAGACGGCCGAGTATCCTGCGCCTTCCTTGTGCTCCGTGCCAGAGCTGGCGCCACAGCCTGACAGCATACGTCCACGGAGTTCTCATCGCAAGTGGCATCCGCAAACTGAATTTCCTCCACAAGGTCTTCCGCACTCATGGCAAAATCATGCTGGGGCTGGATCGTCGTGTTGCGAGACGGCAGCTCGGCGGATTTTTCTGGCACCACGACAGGCAAAACTACAGGCAGAAGCTCAATCAACACGTAGCACGGCCGTATGATGTCCTCTGTGCTCGCGTCACCTGAAGCCCACTCCATCGATTCTGTCCGTAGCTGTCCGCCAGAATCGGGCACGCTTCTCTGTTCAGTTGCCGATACACAAGGATGCCCCTCGACATCGCTACAGTAGGTATCCTCTTCTTTACAGATGGCCTTGAGAGGGCCCACCTGCTCAGGAAAGCTGTCTCTGTCCATTTGGGGTTGCTTTTTATCTGGAGGAAAAAGAGAATGTATAATTGTGACAGAGGAAAAGAGGAGTGTGTCCCGTCTTTGAGGGGGGGGGGACTCCAGCCTACCCTGGCTGACTTTATAAGAAGCAAAGTATGACCAAAGGTATTTGATTCAGGGAGAAGTGACCACCAGGAGATCACAGGGCCGTAGTTTAAATGAGGAAGCAAAAACATGCTGAAAAAAGGCAACAGCCAAGGATATCATTTCTTCAAAAATTACAGAAATGTCCGTGGAGAGGTCGTCAGGAGCCGAGAAGGGAGAGAAGGAGAAGTTTAAGAGAAATGCGGAAGGGTGATGATTAACCACTTTGGACGTTTAATTAAATTTTCCCACTCAATTAAAAGAGCATTTCCCAAAGCAGGCAGCCTGCCACGAGGGCGTCTTGAGGGAAGGGTGGCTCAACCTCAAAAACATTTTCCATACGTGCAGGACTCTGAAGTTCCTACCACTGAAGCGATGGGAGTTGTAGTTCGGAACTCCAGGAGACGGTAAATCGGAAAAGATGGAATTAGGAAAGCAGCAACGACTGCTAACGTAAGAACAGCCCTAAGATTGTTTGCCCGTTGTCCGGTTTCCATACGCGTCACTCACCTACAAAAAGGATACCAGGAGGAAGGTCTCCTAAGAATCTCGACAACATGCAGATTTTCAGATATTCGTTATTTTCAACCCAGGAGACGACTTCTTCTGGGCTGATAGGACATCTTCCTTGAAGGGAAACAGGCTGATCAGAGAGGATGTCCCAGGGCTCCCCCGCCCCTTCAGCAATGCCTGGACTTCAATTCCCAGAATTCCCCCACCAGCAGGTCTGAACTTCAACTCCCAGAATTCTCCAGCCAACATGCCTGGATTTCAATTCCTAGAATTCTCTAACCAGCATGCTTGGACTCCAAACTCCCAGAATTCCCTGCCTTCCACCCACTGTCCCTCATTCCCAGTTAGGAAATGCTGGGGATGAGGGGTGTTATAATTAAGCTCTCGAGGGACGGGTCGTTTAAATCAGTGGTCCCCAACCCCCGGTCCGCGGACCGGTGCCGGGCCGTGGAGTACCTGGCACCGGGCCGCGCAGCGGCCGGGGGACATGAACGCTGCAGCGCAAAGGCTCCTGGGCCGTGCACAATGGGCCGTGCGCAAAAGCTCCTGGGCCGTGCCCCCACCCCTGCGCGCGCTCAGCGGGCCGCGGCGATAAAAAGGTTGGGGACCACTGGTTTAAATGATTTGTTGGTTACATTTCGACCCCACTTTTCATTAGGGGTGGTATCACGCACCCTTTGTCTGTTCCTTTTCATCCCAAACAACCACCCTGGTCCAAGACAGAGGAAGTCCTTCCCAGGAGTCTCTTCTGTGGCTGAACAGGACTTGAACCCACTTCTCATGCTTCTATAGACCAACCTGTCCTTGGTTCACCCCCGCAGTCTGGCCATCCCGAGCCCCACATCAAGCCTGCTCACCACCAACGAAAAGAAGCGACTGGTAGTTTTCCTCCAGCATGTCCCAGTACAGCTGCTTCTGGTCCTTGGTTAGCAACCGCCATTCGTCCGGGGAGAAGTATATGACAATGTCGTCGAAACTGATCGCCATCGACCCCTCCAAGGAGAAAGGCTGCATGGGAGAAAAACAAGCAAGTTGGTTCCCCAACCCAATATTTTTTTTTTTGAGTGGAGGGAAACAAGCATGGAGGGGGGACAGAAAGAGAGGATCAAGGTCTGGTCTTCAAATCTAAGCTTAAATCAGCTTGGCTTAAACATCATCAGTTCTGGGACAACTCTTGGGGTCCCTTCACACATGCAAAGATTGGAACCTGGGTTGAGGGCACAGAACAAACCATTCACTCTTCTTCCTTGCAAAGTGGAGGGTTCACACACACACACACACAACCTAAAAGTTGGTTAGTTGGCGGCAAGTTATTGCACAAACTCAAGCCTCGTTCTAACCGGTTGTGTGAACGCGGCTTAAACGGGTGCAAGGTTCCGTAGGAACAAAGCTAAGGTCGAATAGTCACTAAACGAAGATTTGTAAGATTATGCTTGGCAGTACAAAATTTTTAGAGTCCTTAACTTATCACCATTTGATTAGCCATGATTCGAAGTTACGGTGGCAAAAAAGTGACTTAGGACTAGTCCTCACACTTACGACCATCACAGCATCCCCACGGAAACATGACCAAAATTCGAATGCTTGGCAACTGGCATGTATATACAGGTAGTCCTCAATTTACAACAGTTCGTTTAGTGACGGTCCAAACTTAGAACAGCACTGAAAAAATTCACAACCATTATTCACACTTACGACCTTTGCAGCTTCCTCAGGATCACGTGATCAACATTCAGAGCTCGGCCATTGACTTATACTTATGACGGTTGCAGTCTCCCAGGGCCATGGGATTCCCTTTTACAACCTTCTGACAAGCAAAGTCAAAGGAGAAGCCGGATTCACTTAACAACCATATTATTAACTTAGCAACTGCGGCAAGAAAGGTCATAAAATGGAGAAAGAGTCACTTAACAAATATCTCACTTAGCAACAGGAATTTTGGGCTCAATTCTGGTCGTAAGTAGAGGACTACCTGTACCATAGCTGCAGCTTCCTGGGGTCACATGATCACCGTTTCTGACCTTGCTAGTCAGCTTCCAGTCAATCAATCCGGGGAGCCGGATTCGCTTAAGGGCCAAGTGATTGGTTTAACAACAGTCACAAAATAGGCAGTAAAATTGGGTGCCGCTCACTTACCAGCCTTTTTTTGGACTACCTGTATTTTTATTTCAGCCCACACAAATTGATCTAATGTCTCTAAGTGAGACATTTGTTAAGTGACTCTTTTTCCATTTTATGACCTTTCTTGCCGCAGTTGCTAAGTTAGTAATACAGTTGTTAAGTGAATCCGGCTTCTCCTTTGAGAGAACCACTTAAAATAAGAAATTATTTTGGAAAAAAAGCAGCTAAAGTTGTCCATCAATTCTTCAAATTGTTTGGATTTATCCTACCGGGACTACTAACTGAGAGTGAAAATTTTCTGGGCTCAAAAACTTTTAATTTTCCCAGCCAGAATTGTTGACATCTCATCGGTGCCAGATGCAAAAGATTGACCTTCTCTGAAGTTGCAATCATTCTTCTTTTGAAAACAAAAGAAAAGGAATTAAAGAAGTAAAATCAGCAAATTGGCTTTATTTGACATTCACTCCTGCAAGGCTGAAGAGCCGAAAAGCAAAGCTTAATTTACCCAAACTGCACAATTTTCTATGGAAACGGCACCTGATCACAATTTAAGCCATAATAAAATTATGGGTTTTCAAAGCCGGCATGTTTCAAATTGCAAAAGCCAAAAGTGACTCTTTGAATTACAGCCATTCGTTTAGTGACCATTCCGAGTTACACCACCACTAAAAAAAGAGTTTTTTCAAACAGTTTGTTCAAAAATTACAGCAGCATTGAAGAAAGGGACTTATGACAATTTTCCCCACTTAATGACCGCTGCAGCATCCCTGTAGTCACATGATCAAAATTCAGGACGCTTGACCACTGAGTCATATTTACGATGGTGGCAGTGTCCTGGGATCACGCAATCCCCTTTTGCTAACAATCGTATCAGTAACTTAACAGCTGCAGTACTTTACTTAACAACTGTGGCCAGAAAGGTTGTAAAATGAGGCAAGACTCACTTAACCAACATCTCATTGGCAAGAAAAAATTTGGGCTCCTTTGTGATCTTAAGTGGAGGAAAATATGGTATATGGTCCAGAGTCACTTAAGGCAACATGGGTGGGATAGAAATTTAATTCAATTTAATAATTTATTTTAGTAAAGCCAAATGTAGAATGTAAAAGTAATAATCAGTAAGCTGTCCAGAGTCATTTTTAGGGAGATAAAGGTGGCATAAAATTACTTTAAATAAAGAAAGTGAAAAAGAGTTAAGTTCACTTTAACAACTAGGGGTCTAATTTAACAATTAGGAAGAGCCTGTAGTACAGTGGAGTAAAGCACTGTAATTAACATCTGCTGCTTGCAATTACTGCAAATTCAATTCTCACCAGGCTCAAGGTTGACTCAGCCTTCCATCCTTTCTAAAGTAGGTGAAATGAGGACCCAGATTGTGGGGGCAATAAACTGACTTTGTGTAACTATACAAAAGTATGAAGGCTATTGCTTAACGCATTGTAAGCCGCCCTGAGTCTCCGGAGAAGAGCGGCATATAAATTAAAGCAAAAAAAAAACACACAACTACAGGAATTCACTTAAGACTGCAAAGATTCAATTAACAGTCTCGTTTAGCAATGTTAATGTTGGGCTTACAGCTCCATTGTGGCTATAAATCAAGGACTAACAGTAAATTCATAATTTCTAACCCACCCAGAGTCACCTTAGAGAAGAGACAGGTGGCATTAAGAACTTAATAAAGTAAAAAATTAAAAGGTAGAAAGAGTGTAGAAATTTCATTTAATAACTAATATGGATTGTGAGCCGCCCTGAGTCGTTTGCTGATAGAAATCAAATACATACATAAATAAATAAAAATAATAATCAAGTAATAATCTGTAAAATGCCCCATCCCCGGGAGTCCGCAGCTTGGAACAGTGGGGACAGCCGGGAACGCAGAGTCCGGCTAAAATCTTGAGCCCTATTCAAGGTTTACTCTATTTTAAAAAGTAAAATACTATAACGTAAAAGGCATTTTAAAAGCATAGAATAAAATTAAATTCAAGTTCAGCCTCGCACTTGCTAGCTGCTAAGAGTAAACCTTGAATAGGGCTCAAGATTTTAGCGCGGACTCTGCGTTCCCGGCTGTCCCCACTGTTCCAAGCTGCGGACCCCCGGAGATGGGGAATGGCCAAAAGGGGGAAAAAGTCAGAAGTCGAGACACACACGCGGGACGCTCCCCGCATTGCACTGCCGAGAAGCGCAGCGTTTGCAACTGACCGTCGGTCCATTTGCAAGCGGGCTCCCCCCGCATAGGAACCCCGTTGAGCAGGGGGCGCCAAGCGGGAATTCGCCCACCTACCTCTCCCTGGACTCCCCCGACCTCTCTGCCGGCCATCCGGACGGCTCTTCGGCTACCCGAGCTGGACCTCGAGTAGCGAGAAGGACGGCGGGTGGGTTGACCCCGCGGACTGACGCGCAAGAGGAAGGATCGCGAATGAGTTGCAGCGCAATTTATATTGCCCAGCCCAGAGGCGGAAAGAGCGGCTGTCAACGAGACCGCCCCCCCCCCACCCGCACCCACGCCCTCCCCACCTCCCAGGTTGCAAACTCGCGTCTTTCCAACACGCGTCCGCGTTCCGACGTGCAGATTTCTCGCTTTGCCACAAGGGGTGGGTTCTCCAGGTCGAGGGAATCTGGGGACTTGGCTGGGCACCCCATTACCTAATAAATATTATTTACGTATCAAATAGCTATTAACCGTATCTATTAAATATTATTTAATATTTATTACCCATTATCTACCCATGTTTTTCCAAAAATAAGACCATGTCTTATATTTCTTTGAACCCTGAAATAAGGTGCTTGGCTGTATTGCCATGTGCTCAAAAGCCCAATTGGGCTTATTATCAGGGATGCCTTATTCTGGGAGAAACAGGTATTATCTATCTATCTATCTATCTATCTATCTATCTATCTATCTATTCTATCATCCATCCATCCATCCATCCATCCATCCATCCATCCATCCATCCACCCACCTACCTACCTACCTACTTACCCTTCCATATCTATCTATCATCTATCATCCATACCTATCTATTTATGTACCTATCATCCATCCATCCATCCATCCATCCATCCATCCATCCATCCATCCATCCATCTATCTATCTATCTATCTATCTATCTATCTATCTATCTATCTATCTATCTATCTATCTCTATCTCTATCAATCAATCAATCAATTTAACCTCCATCTACCTATCTATCTATCTACAGTATCTATGGTGGGTGGATGGATGGATGTATAGATGTATAGATGTATAGATAGATAGATAGATAGATAGATTGATAGATAACCATGTTTCCCTAAAAATAAGACCCTGTCTTATATTTTTTGAACCCTGAAATAAGCGTTTGACCGTATTGCCATGTGCTCAAAAGCCCAATTGGGCTTATATCAGGGATGTCTTATTCTGGGAGAAACAGGGTATCTATCTATCTATCTATCTATCTATCTATCTATCTATCTATCTATCATCCATCCATCCATCCATCCATCCATCCATCCATCCATCCACCCACCTACTACCTACCTACTTACCCTTCCATATCTATCTATCATCTATCATCCATACCTATCTATTTATGTACCTATCCATCCATCCATCCATCCATCCATCCATCCATCCATCCATCCATCCATCCATCCATCTACTATCTATCTATCTATCTATCTATCTCTATCTCTATCAATCAATCAATATCAATTTAACCGTCCATCTACCTATCTATCTATCTACAGTATCTATGGTGGGTGATGGATGGATGGATGGATGGATGGATAGGATAGATAGATAGATAGATAGATAGATAGATAGATAGATAGATAGACAGACAGATACCGTGTTTCCCCAAAAATAAGACCCTGTCTTATATTTTTCTGAACCCTGAAATAAGAGCTTGGCCTTATTGCCATGTGCTCAAAAGCCTGATTGGGCTTATTATCAGGGGATAATGTCTTATTTTGGGGGAAAACAGGGTATCAAATATTAATATTTATCTATTACCCATTATCTATTAAAAAGTATTAAATGAAATATATATTTGTGTGTATATGTGTGTATCTATATATACAGACACACATACATTATACATATACATTGTAGATGTACATGTATGTATCTATAATTATGTGTAATGTGTCACATGTATAATATAAATAGAACAGAATAGAATAGAATCACAGAGTTGGAAGGGACCTTGGAGGTCTTCTAGTCCAACCCCCTGCCAGGCAGGAAACCTTACAGCATTTTCAGACAAATGGGTCATCCAACATCTTCTTAAAAAGTTCCAGTGTTGGAGCATTCATAACTTCTGGAGGCAAGTTGTTCCACTGGTTAATTGTTCTAACTGTCAGGAAATTTCTCCTTAGTTCTAGATTGCTTCTCTCCTCGATTAGTTTCCACCCATTGCTTCTTGTCCTGCCCTCAGGTGCTTTGGAGAATAGCTTGACTGCCTCTTCTTTGGGGCAGCCCCTGAGATACTGGAAGACTGCCATCATGTCACCCCTAGTCCTTCTCTTTATTAAACTAGACATGCCCAAACCCTGCCTAGGTGTAAAACTTTGCTTTTCTCCACATTTAATTTCATGTTGTCCGATGGACCCATCATTTTGGATCCTAAGCTTGTCTTTTGGGGGGTTGACTATTCCTGCCAATTTATGTGTGTTATGTATAAGTATACATGTATATATGTGTATATAATATATAGCATATATGTATATACAGGTATGTATATTTAACATTCAAGCTAACAGCCGTCTTTGTCATCCCCCAGAAAGAAAGAAAAATGAAACTCTCAGGAACTTCATGAGGCAAATTGAAGAGTGAACAGACAGAAGGAAAAAAGGCGGGAAAAAAGGGGAAACACCTCCTTTATACAGATGGCAACCAATCACAGCGCAGATTGCCTCACGCATGAGTCAGCCCTCTCTAACTCACGACCACAACTGCGAGTTCTGCCCTGTTGTGCATTTCGCCAGCTCCAGCTACTAAATTCAATAGCCGAACAAGTCAAGGGATATACTGATTTAATCATGAAATAAATGTTTTTAGGGATGAAATAGGAAATAGTTGAAATCAAAATTAAATGTTAAAGTATGAATTTAAGTATTAAATTCAGGGCAACTAGAAGAACAATCGGGCCTCAGAATTGGCAATGAATTTATTGAAATGGGGGACAAAGTATATCCCAGCCGGCTGGTAATGCTGGCAATCTGTCACTGTTCCAAGCTTGGATAGCAAAAGAAATGACCTCACTGTGGGGTCCAACAAATGGTTTTACTGGTCTCTTGGCTCGGCACATGGTGAACACAACAGAAGCTTTTCTAGCCAGCATGACCGAATTTTGCCAGCCAGCTGGCTATGAGGGCTTGGCACGCCCCACCCATGCCTGCTACCAGCCTGCTCCAGCAATCATTCTCTGGGCCTGGCTTCATGGCCTCTGATCTGGCTGCAGCTATCTCTCCTTCATGCCCCTCCACCAGTTTGCATTGATGCCAACACCCAGTACCCAACAGCCGACTGTGCGCCCCCTCCAAGGTTTGTGGCCGACGTCTCGGATGTTGATGCCAGCTTTCAGGATCAACAACCAGCACTGTTAAGGATATTATTGAATTACACCTGAAGTTGTGGTTTATAAAGCAGAGTACCGTTAAGAGTTTTACGCACGGAAACGTTTTGAGAGTAATTGTGAATAACATACAAACTGGGTTTTATAGTATTTTACTTTTAGGGAAAAGCAAAATCATAGTTCTTTAACAATCCAAGTCTTAGCCATATAAAGTGCAATATAAGATCAATCCAGGGATATAAAATCTTACCAGTTGGGTCATGAAATGTCTGCAAGAAAAGCATCCAACCCAGAGAGCACCCAGGACCCCCATAATCATTGTCCTCCTCCTCTTCCTCCTCTTTCCTGCAAACCTTCTCCCCTCCCATCTAGCACTGATGATGTTCCCTAGTTGGATCACAAAACGTCTGCAAGAAAACCACGCAACTCAAAGCACCAAGGATCCCACAGTTCTACTCCACCTTCCTCCTCGTCCCTGAAAGCCCCCCTTCCTTCTAGCACTGATGCTGTTCCTTTATTGAATCCTAAAATGTCTGCAAGAAAACTACCAAGCTCAGAGAGTACCAAGGACCCCACAATTTAACACTGAGATACAAATACTTCCATCTACCAAGACTAGCCCTCGGTAGAACATCTAGGAATGTCTTGGAAAAGATAGTCATATGCCATATGTCCTACAACAATCAAAATCACAGAAGGCATGGTATACCCTGTGACACTCTGAGGAAGAGTTTGAACAGGAAAGGAAGAATATTGACACTTTTGAATTTTGGTGCTGGAGAAGACTCATGACAATTCCAAGCAATCAAATTGATGGATCATCGGACAGATCAATTCAACTACTGAAGACACAAATGACCCAACTCAAATTATTTTTTTTTAGACACCCGATGTCTTCTCTGGAGAAGTCTATAATAGTAGGAAAGATGGAAAGAAAGTTGACCAGGTTCAAATTATCCTATTTTGGACACCTGAAGTCTTCTCTGGAGAAGTCCATAATGTTAGGAACGGTGGAAGGAAAGAGGACAACCAGCAGAAGGTAGATGGACATGAGGGCCTCATTAGAAGACCTGAAAGACCAGGTTAGGAGAGATTGCTATGGGTCACTAAGAATTAAAACTGATGTGAGGAACTTAATCATCAATATATAATGCCTGGTTTCTGGAAAACTGCGTGATCCTGGAGAGGATAGAAAGAAAGAGAAGTGGGCAACTGGAAGATATGTCAACACCAACTTGATGGAATATCATCCATCAATGCACCACCTCCTCTACATCCTCCCTTCTAGCATTGATGATGTTCCTTAGTGATAAATACAGGTAATTCCAACTATAATTGACCCCAAAATTTATGTTGCTAAGAGACGGTTAAATATGTTTTGCCCCATTTTATGATTTTTTTTGCCACCGTTAAGTGAAGCACTGCAATTATTAAGTGAGTCACATGGCTGTTAAGCGAAACTGGCTTTCTCCGTTGACTTTGCTTGTCAGAAGGTCGCAAAAGCGGATTATGTGACCCCAGGACGGTCATAAATATAAGTCAGTTGCCAAGCACCTGAATTTGGATCACATGACCATGGGGATGCTACAATGGTCAGACGTGTGAAAAATAGTCCTAAGTCACTTTTTCAGTGCTGTTGTAACTTTGAGCGGTCACTAAATGAACTGCCGTAAATCTAGGACTTATCTGTAACTGCATTATTCCCCAGCCTTTGTGCCCATTTCTATCTGCAAACATCCCTAAAGTGAATGAACAAAAAATGCAACTGATTCTCTTTCCATTTTTTGGTAATTTGTCTTTATTTGCAATGCACCTTCAATACAAAACTACATCCTGAAAAGAACGTCTCTCTGTGGGTGAATAATATATTGTTCGTTTAAAAAATAAAACGAGGCGGCCCACATTTTATGAGATAAAAGGGAGTTTTAAAATCCTAAAAGCAGCAGAGGAGAGAGCCCAGGGAGAACAAATTAATATGGTTGCTGCAGGTCAGACCCACATTTCTTTCAAAAATTCGAAAGATTTTCCCGCGCTCGCAATAAAACGGGGAACCAGAAAAGGAAGTGAAGAGGAAAAGAAAGAGAAAGGAAACAATTGGTGGCTCGAACAAGAAGTCTCACGGAATGCGAGCTACACAACGTAAAGTTTTCCATGTAAATGGTTCCATCCGTACATCTGGAAAAACATCTTTTTTTTTTTAAAGCACAGGATCCATCCGGAGCGTAGTTCTGCCGCTATAAGTTGTGAGTCACTCTGTCAGAAACCTATGGGAAAAGTATAACTGTGCAGCTGGCGGCATCCAACAGAAGCCCGAAAGACACACAATGTCTTTGAGCGTCCAGCAAAATGAGACCGCTTGTCGTTAAGTGTCTTACATGCAAGGAATAACATCCTGCACACGTGCACGTACCATCCTCAGCTGAAAAGGACTGAGACTTGTGCAGTAGTTGGTTGCAAACAGCTATACATCACCTCTGCACACTGTCATGTCCTTTTTCAGAAATGGTTTTATGGCAGTTGGCACAGATTCTGGCTCAGAATGAGTCTGTCTACTGCAGCCCATCTGTCCAGCTGTTTTTCCACATCAGCTAGAATTAAGGTGTGGGACTGGGGGCTGCAGAGGGAGTGCTGGGGGGGGGGGGGCTCGATTGGATGGACGGGCTGAGAGGCTGGGCTCTCTCCCGCTGCTATGGGGTGCTAAGGGAGACCGTCACCCCCCAACCCGGGCAGGAGTCGCTGGGCCGAGGCCTCGTTGCTGTGAGTCCTCAGGTGGTCCTTGAGCGACTCCTTGTAGCGGAAGCTGCGCCCGCACTCAGCGCACTGGTAGGGACGCTCGCCCGTGTGAATGCGCTGGTGCTTGAGCAGATTCTGCTTCCGGATGAACCGTTTCCCACAGATGGGACACTGGAAAGGGCGCTCACCCGTGTGCAGCCGCTGATGGTTCTGCAGGTGCTCCTTGCGGCTGTAACACTTGCCGCACTCGGCGCACTTGTAAGGGCGCTCACCCCGGTGGGTCATCTGATGCCGCACCAAGCCTGAGTGGCAGTTGAAGCTCTTGCGGCACTCGGCACACTCGTACGGCCGGGCTTGGCCGTGGTGGCTGCGCTGGTGGACTTTGAGGCTCTTTTTCACCCCAAACATCTTGCCGCACTCACTGCAGCCGTGGGGCCGTTCAGCAGAGCCCTGAGGAGGGCCCAGGATGCTTTGCAGCTCACTGTCTAACTCCAGAGATTTACCCGCTCTACATTTGGTGGGGCTGACAGGTGGCCCACGAGGAGCCTCATAGCTTTCCGCTGCTGGAGGAACAGCGAGAACGGCTGCTGCAGGAGATTCTCCCTGGAAGAGCATCTCCCGAGGTCTCACCGACTCTTCCGGGCACAGGCGCGGCTGCTCAGCTTTGATGGTCATTGTGTCTCCAGCTGGAATGGAAAGCGAAAGGAAACTGAAATCATTTACAGTGGTACCTCGGTACGAGCGTTAATTGGTTCAGGAGTACCAAAACCTATGAGTACTAAACAAATTTTTCCCATCAGAAATAATGTAGAGAATGGCACTGTAGCTGACCACAAGTTCTAGCTTGTGCGTTTAGTACCAAACAAACGATGTGTCAAGATTGAAAAATGTTTAAAGCTTTCTGTGACTATTATTGGTAAATCAGATTAACAGAGTTGGAAGGGATCTTGTAGATCATCTAGTCCAACCCCCCGCCCATTTCTGACAGATGGCAGTCCAGTCTGTTCTTGAAAGCCTCCAGGGATGAAGCTCCCATGACTTCTGAAGGCAACTTCTGTTCCATCGGTTGATTGTTCTCACTGTCAGAAAATTTCTCCATATTTCTAGGTTGAATCTTTCCTTGATCAGTTTCCATCCATGAGTCCTTATCTGGCCTTCGGGTGTTTTGGAAAACAGGTTGACCTCCTCTCTATGACAGCCCCTCAAACATTAGAACAGTGATACCATATCTCCCATGATCCTTCACTAGACTAGCCATGGCCAGTCCCTGTAACCGTCCTTCATATGTTTTAGCCTTTTCAACTTGCCAAAGAACTGGGGGGAGAGGGAAGGGTGAGATGGAATGTGGAGGCTACAATCTTCAACTGTGAGAACCAAGGACACTTCTCTAGGTGTCTGCCAAGATGTGCATGGTTATCAAAACAAAAGGTTGATTCCCAATTGGAGAATGTGACCTGTTCCACGGGAGCAGGGGATGAAACTCATCTTTAACTACGCAGGGCTTACGCGGGAGAATTTTTTGTTGGGTTTTCTTCAAGTGCTGAAATGATAATAAAGTTTTGCTTTTGGGATGGGCCCTATCCAACAAAATGAATTTTAATGTGGAGAAAAGTAAAAATTTACATTTAGGGAGGAAAAACTAAAGGCATTAGGCAAAACCTGGCTCAGAAACGGTAACTGTGAGAGGGAACTTGGGAGTCCTAGTGGATGATCATTTGAATATGAGCCAGCAGCAGCTGCCAAAAAAGTTAATATAATCCTGGGATGTATAAACAGGGCATAGAATCAAGTATGAAGTATTAGTGCCACTTTACAAAACCTTATTAAGACCACACCTGGAGTACTGCAACCAATTTTGGTCACCATACTACAAAAAAATATGTTGAGAAAAAGTTGAGAGAAGAAAAATATGATTGGAAAAAGTTCAGAGAAGAGCAACTAAGGCCCGGAGACTAAAATATATGAAGAATGGCTGCAGATTTTGGCTCTGTCTAGTCTAAACAAAAGAAGAATTAGGAGTGACATGATAGCAGTATTCCAGTATTTGAGGGGCTGCCCCAAAGAAGAGTTGGTCAAATTTTTCTCCAAAGCAAGAAACAACGTTTGGAAACGGATCAAGGAGAGAAGCAACCTGGAATTAAGGAGAAACTTCCTAATAGTGAGGACAATGAACCAATGGAACAGAAGTTGCCTCCAGAAATCCTGGGCACTCCATCACTGGAGGTTTTTAAAAAGAAACTGGACATTGTATAGGTTCTCCTGTTTGAGCAGACTAGGGGCTAGACTAGAAGACCTCCCAGGTCCCTTTCCATTCCATTCCATTCTGTCCATTAGTTGACACGATGAGTACTGGGACAAAATTTTCATGTCAAAATGCAATGACCAAATCCAATGAATTTCAAAGCAGTTGTGTACCAAAGTACTGGTAATCCTCAATTTACGACGACAATGGAGCCCAAAATTTCTGTTGCTAAGTGAGACATTTGTTAAGTGAATTCTGCCCCATTTTACAACATTTCTTGCCAGAGTTATTAAATGAAATCACCGCAGTTGATAAATTAGTAACCCGTTTTGTTTTGTTGCTTTTTTTTTGCTTTAATTTATATGCCGCCCTTCTCCGGAGACTCAGGGCGGCTTACAGTGAGTTAAGCAATAGCCTTCATACTTTTGTATATTTATACAAAATCAGCTTATTTCCCCCACAATCTGGGTCCTCATTTCACCTACCTTAGAAAGGATGGAAGGCTGAGTCAACCTTGAGCCTTGGAGAGATTTGAACTTGCAGTAATTGCAAGCAGCAGATGTTAATTACAGTGCTTTAGTCCACTGTACTACAGGTTATTAAATGAATCTGGCTTCCCCATTGATTTTGCTTGTCAGAAGGTTGCAAAAGGGGATCACGTGACCCCAGGACACTGCAGTGGTCGTAAGTATGAAACAATTGCCAAGTATCTGAATTTTCATCATATGGTCATGGGGATGGCTGCAGTAGTGGGTTCCATTTACCTTTGCTACCGGTTCGGAATTGGGAGCATGCATGCATGCTTGCTTCACTCGTATGTGGCACTTCTGCGCATGGGCAGAGTGTCCGTGATGACATCCGGGCGGGTGTGGGGAGCCTCCCGCCACTGCCACTACCGGTTCACTCAAACCGGGGCGAACCAGTAGAAACCCACCACTGGATGGCTGAAAGGGTGAGAAACGTTATAAGTCATTTTTTTCAATGCCTCTGTAAATTTGAATGCCTCTCTAAATTTTATTTTTATTTTATTTTATTTCGAATTTATATACCGCACCTTCTCCCGAGGGACTCAGGGCGGTGTACAGCCAGCTAAAAACATACAATACAAACATTAAAAACAATTAAAAGGATATATATTAATTTGGCCCCAATTTAAATGAACTGTTGTAAGTCAAGGACTATCTCTACCACTATAATCCAGTAGAAAGGAGGACATGTGTGTTTCTCAAACTCAGTTACTTTTAAGACGTGGGGACTTCAACTCCCAGAATTCCCCAACCAGGAGTAGTGAGCAGCGAATTCTGGGAATTGAAGTCTATACATGGCCAAGATTGAGAAACAGATTAACAGAGTTGGAAGGGACCTTATAGATCCGTAATGGCGAACCTATGGCACGCATGCCACAGATAGCACGCAGAGCCATATCTGTGGGCACACAAGTGTTGCCTTAGCTCAGCTCCAGCGGGCATGTGCGTGTCGGCCAGCTGATTTTTGGCCCTTCCGGGCCTACCGAAAGTTGGGAAACGGGCTGTTTCTGGCCTCCGGGGGGGTGGGGTGGGGAAGGCCGTTTTCGCCCTCTCCAGGCTCCTAGAAAGCCTCTCGAGCCTGGGGAGGGCGAAAAACAGGCCTACCGGGCCCACTCTTCCATCGCGTGCCAAAAGCGTGGGGAGTGTGGGGGTGGGCCATGCATGCATGCGTGGGGGAATGGGGCACATTGAATTATAGGTGTGGGCACACATGCGCACGACACACACACCCCGCGTAACCCCCGCTTTTGGCACGCGACGGCAAAAAGGTTAGCCATCACTGTTATAGATCATCTAGTCCAACCCTCTGCTTAAGCAGGAGACTTACACTTCATAGGTCGGTATGGGTATAGGTACATTTGCTTTATAAGTAGTCCTTGACTTACAACCAAAACAGAGACCAAAATTTCCATCACACGTCATTGTGGTTGAAACGTCAAGTCAGACCTGATTTTATGATCATTCTTACTACGGCGGTTAAGGAAACTCCACAATCTCATTCTTTCAAACGGGCGGGGTTTTTTTGCAGCAAACTATCAAAACACCGCCATGAATTGTGACCACGTTAATGTTAGATCATTGCGACAAGTCGTAAATGTGCCCAGATTGTGATCATGTGGCCATGGGGTGGTGTGATAGTCATACTAAGAGCCTCGGTGGCGCAGCGGACTAAAGTGCTGTTAAGTGCTAGCACTTAGCTGCCAGCTGCCTGCAATTACTGCGAGTTCGAATCTCGCCAGGCTCAAGGTTGACTCAGCCTTCCATCCTTTCTAAGGTAGGTGAAATGAGGACCCGGATTGTGGGGGCAATAAGCCAGTTTTGTATAGAACAACACCGCTTGGGCGGGGGGGCAAAGCCCTAATAAGCAGGTATATACATAAAAGTATGCAGGCTATTGCTATCATGCATTGTAAGCCGCCCTGAGTCTACGGAGAAGGGCGGCATATAAATTGGATAGATAGATAGATAGATAGATAGATAGATAGATAGATAGATAGATAGATAGATAAATAAATAAATAAATAAATAAGAAAGAGCCTGAGTGGTGTAGGAGGCTAATGCCTCCTACTAAAGCAGCATTTAACATCCAGCTGCCTGCAATGACTGCGAGTTCGAATCTCACCAGGCTCAAGGTCGACTCAGCCTTCCATCCTTTCTAAGGTAGGTAAATTGAGTACCCAGTTTGTGGGGGCAATAAGCTGACTTTGTATAAATATACAGAAGTATGAAGGCTATTGCTTAACGCATTGTAAGCCGCCCTGAGTCTCCGGAGAAGGGGGGCATATAAAAATAAAAATTTTAAAAAAAAAGTGTGAGGACTCAGCTTTTTTCAGAACTTAACTGTTGCAAGAAGGGTTGAAAAACGGGACAAAACTCACTTAACAAATGTCTCACTTAGCAACGTAAATTTTGGGCTCAATTCCAGTCTTAATTAGAGGACTACCTTTCCATAACATCCTGAGGTCACATGATCCCCATTCACGACCTTGCTAGCCAGCGTCCAACCAACCAAGTCAATGGGGGGCGGGGGGGGGGGGAAGCCGGATTTGCTTAAAGACCAAGTGATTCACTTAATGACTGCAGCGACTCACTTAACAACAGTCGCAAAATAGGTAGTAAAATTGAAGGTCGCTCACTTAGCAGCCTTGCTTTGCAAGAGAAATTCAACCCTCAATTGTGATTGTAAATCAAGGACTAGTAATAACCAAAAGCCAACATGGTTTTGTCAAAAACAGATCATGCCACACAAATCTTCATTTAAATAGGAGCCAGCCGTGTGCAGCAGCTGCCAAAAAAGCCAACACAGTTCTGGGCTGCATCAAGAGAGGGATAGAATCCAGATCACGTGAAGTGTTCATACCACTTTATAAGGCCTTGGTAAGGCCACACTTGGAATACGGCATCCAGTTTTGGTCGCCACGATGTAAAAAAGATGCTGAGACTCTAGAAAGAGTGCAGAGAAGAGCAACCAAGATGATTGGGGGCCTGGAGGCTAAAACATACGAAGAAGGGTTGCAGGAATTTTGGTATGTCTAGTTTAATGAAAAGAAGGACTAGGGGAGACAGGATAGCAGTGTTCCAATATCTCAAGGGCTGCCCCAAAGAAGAGGGAGTCAAGCTATTCTCCAAAACACCGTAGAACAAGAAGCAACGGGTGGAAACTAATCAAGGAGAGAAGCAACCTGGAACTAAGGAGAAATTTCCTGACAGTGAGAACAATTAACCCATGGAACTACTTGCCTCCAGAAGTTGTGAATGCTCCAACACTTTTTAAGAAGAGATTGGATAACCATTTGTCAGAAATGGTGTAAGATTTCCTGCCTAAGCAGGGGGTTGGACTAGAAGACCTCCAAGGTCCCTTCCAACTCTGTGATTCTAATTCTAAATTCTAAATTGATCCGATGCATTGAGAGAACAACATAAAATAAGAAATTATTTTTTGGGGTGGAAAAAAAACAACCCAAAGTTTTATCCAGCAGTTCTTCAAATTGCTTGGATTTATTCCAGGGGGCAACTAACCGAGAGCGCTGATTTTTTCTGGGACTCCAAAAAACCTTTGAATTTTTCCAGCCAGAATCATTGACATCCTGTCGGTGCCAGATGCCAAAAAAAAAAATCGACCTTCTTCCCGGGTCACAATCACTTTTTCACCCGCCTCTCTCTTTTGAAAACAAAATAAAAGTAATTAAATACCAAGGAAGAAGAAAAATCAGCAAATGCCATTATTTTATCTGACATTCAGCCCTACAAGGCCGGAGAGCCGAAAAGCAAGGTTTGAATTTACAAAGCATCTTTGGAAACGTTGGGACACAGCGCCTGATTCAAATTTATCACAATTTAAGCCGTAATAAAATTGAGATAGTCAGGAAGATATTAGATTGTGCAAAAATGGATAGCGTGACATTGAAAATTAAACAGAAAAAAGATGTAGAATACTTTCAAACGTGGATTTTATTTTACCAAGGGTTGAACAAAAGCGGTGGAAAATAAGAATGTAAATTTATATTGTTAAGCAAATTAAATACCCGGACATGATGTTTATTAAGCACTAAGAAATGTAATTAGTGGAAAATCAATAAAAACATTTTTTTGTAAAATAAAAAATAAATTTGAGACTTCCAGGGCTTTTCAAAGCTGGCATATTTCAAATTGCAAAAAAAACACACAACCCCAAATAAAGGCAAGGACCACTCCTTGACTTACAGCCATAAGTAGTAACTAACCTTAGTAGTGGCTGAGGAATTCTGGGAATCAAAATCTATACCTGACCAAGTGTTGAGAAACACTTACTTTATAAGTAGTCCTTGACTTATGACCGCCACCGACATCGAAACATCCATCACATGTCATTGTGGTGGTAAAGTCAAGTCAGACCTGATTTTATGACCGTTTTTGCTATGGTCATTCAGCGAATACCATGGTCATTAAACACAATCTCGTTCTTCCAAACGGGCGTTTTTTTGCAGCAAGCTATCCAAAAAGCGTCACAAATTGAGATCACGTAACAATAGATCGTTGCGACAGGTCATAAGGATGCCCGGATTGTGATTGTGTGGCCGTGAGGTGGTATCCTAGTCATAAGTATGAGGACTGGGATTTTTTCCCAGTACTTTGAAGAAGAAATGGACGTAAATTGACGACACAATACAAGCTGCATCTCTCCAGCTCAAAAACAGAGTCAGCCAGATTACCTTGAGGGAGATCTAAGTATAGGATCTATTTTCTCCTAGCCAAAGAGGATCTTAAGCAACCAGAATCTCTTTACAATCATTCATTTAAGAACTGTTCAAAATTCCAACACTGGGAGAAAAAAAGTGGCTTATAACCGGTCCTCAAACTTACGACCATTCCAGCATCCCTACAGCCAACGTGATCAAAATTAGGGCATGTTGCAACCTGTATAATAGTTACAACGGTCACATTGAATCACGTGATCCCCTTTTGGGATCTTCCCAGATGGCTGCCTACAAGCCAAGTCAAAGGCGGAAGCCGGCTTCGCTTAATGATGGCATAATTCACTTAACGACCGCAGTGCTTCGCCTAACTACTGTAGTGAAAAATAGCAATATCCAGCATGAGTTACTTGATCCCCGCCTTGCTTAATGACAGAAATTATCATCCCCAATATGGGCGTTAAGTTGAGGCTCACTTGTAAGGTTTTTTCTCCTCCGGTCAATTTCAGCAAAATCTGTCAATTTCAGCATTCCTTTCATTTTTTGGATAATGGGTAATCCTCCACTTATAACAATTTGTTTAGTGAACATTTGAAGTTACGACAGCCCTGAAAAAAAGCGACTAAGGACCGTTTCTCACACTTATGACCATGGCAGTGTCCCCGTGGGTCAGGTGATCACAATTCAGATGCTCGGCCACCGACTCGTATTCATGACGGTGGCCGTGTCCCTGGGGTCACGTGATCCCCTTTTGACGAGCAAAGTCCAAGGGGAAGTTGGAGTCGCTTAAAGATTATGTTCCTAACTTAACGCCGGCAGTGATTCGCTGAACAGCAGGGGCGAGGAAGGTCATAAAACGGGGCGAAACTCCGCTTAACGGATGTCTCTGACTTAGCAACTGGAATTTTGGGCTCAATTGCGGTTGAGGACTTACAGCACCCCACTGACGGAGCGAGTCGGTATAGGACTTACCTGGGCCCCCATGCGCAGGGAGGGTCTCCCTTTCCGATGCGTCCCATTGATGTCGGACACACGAACTCTCTTCTTGCTTAATCCAAGATAAAAAATCATGGGCGGACATGAGCCCCTGGGCCCCTGCAGGAGAACAGAGGGGATGCTGAATTCACAGAAAGGATTTCGGGGACCTCCCACGCCCCCCCCCAAAAAAAGACAGAAGGGGAGAGGGGCCCAGAGAAAGACACCAACCCCAAGCCCACCGACATAGGACCACCCACCCAGAGGGGTCAGAATCACGCATGTTTGCACACGGAGCAATTGGCCTTCTGCATTCAATTCGCACAGGTAAAATGAGCCTTTCTCTCCCTTGGCAACTTTTAAGAGGGCTGGACTCCAACTCCCAGAATTCCCCAACCAGCTGGATGGGGGATTCTAGGCGTTGAAGTCCTTCCCTCTTAAAGTATCCCACCTGGGGGATTCTGGGAGTTGAAGTCTTCCCCTCTTCAAGCATGCTGGATGGGGGATTCTGGGAGTTGAAGTCCTTCCCTCTTAAAGTGGCCGAGTTTGAACCTCACTGCACTAAACCAACAAGCTGGGTCATCCAATGGGTTTAAGCCACCCAAACAAGCCATGGTTAATTCTATCCAGGCTGTTCTCTCCAACCACCCAGTACTTTCAATGGGTCAGGCTATCCTAAATTAAAAATATCTGACATTAAAAGCATCGGTGCTATTAAAACTCTGCCATTTTTCAACTCTCCCCCCCTTGTGTGGGAGGATCAGAATCTGGGACACCCCCCCCTTTTGTCCCCAAAAAGTCAGCCCCCTCCCTCGCCCATCACCTGCACATGGATCAGCCACCGGGCCTCTGTCCTCGGAGAAGGGACCTCCTCCGCTGAATGCCCCCCTCCTGCTTGATGCGTGTCAGGATATCCGGCGTGGAGGCCAAGGGTCCTGGGTCCGAGGGAGAGAAGGGGAGGAGAGACGGGACGCAACTTGGAAACACAACCTGGGAGCCCACCCCCACCCCTGCCATGGGTCGGAGGGCGCCAGCCAGCCCCAAACCCTCCTCCACCCACAGACTCAAAAATGCATCCCGTTGGGGGGGAGAAGAAAGGCTGAGAGGGTCCTTCCAGCGATGGTGGAACAAGAACGGGCAGGACGGGGGGGCATTTGGGGAAGGGCAAGGCTGAATGTGGGTAGGGGGAGCTGCATGGAGCAATCGTGGTTTTATTTGGTGGTTAGCTGAAAAGGGTGGGCCAGGATTGGACAGTTTTGTATGTATACAGTTCTGGGAAAGGAGGGAGGGAGGGAGGGAGGGAGGAAGGAAGGAAGGAAGGAAGGAAGGAAGGAAAGAAGGAAGGAAGGAAGGAAGGAAGGAGAGATAAGGCCTGAAAGAATGAAGGAGAGAGAGAGGAAAGAAGGAAGAAGAGAGGGGAAGGGGAAGGAGGGAGGGAGGGAGGAGTAATGCATGAAAGAATGGAAAGGAAAAAGGAAAGAATGGCAGAAGGAAGAAAAAAGGACAGGAAGGGAGGGAGGAGAGAGGAAGGAAGGAAGGAGAGATAAGGCATGAAAATGGAGGAGGGAGGAAGAAAGAAGAGAGGGGAAGGGGAAGGAGGGAGGGAGGGAGGAGTAATGCATGAAAGAATGGAAAGGAAAAAAGGAAAGAATGGCAGAAGGAAGAAAAAAGGACAGGAAGGGAGGGAGGGAGGAGAGAGGAAGGAAGGAAGGAGAGGTAAGGCATGAAAATGAAGGAGAGAGAGAGAGGAAAGAAGGAAGAAGAGAGGGGAAGGGGAAGGAGGGAGGGAGAGTGGGAAGAAGCAGTAATGGAGGAAAGAATGGAAAGGAAAAAAGGAAAGAATGGCAGAAGGAAGAAAAGAAGAAAGGAAAGGGAGGGAGGAGGAATGCATGAAAGAATGAAGGAGGGAGGGAGAAAGGAAAAAATTAAAGATGGGAGACAGGGTGGGAGGGAAGGAGGGGAGAAAACAGGAACAAAGGACGGAAAGAAGGCAAAAGAAAAAAGAAAAAAAGGAATGAAGCCAGGAGGGAAGGGAGGTAGGGAGGCAGGCAAAGATAAACCAGAGCGAAGAGAGGAAGATAAGAAGGAGAGAGATAAAAGCAGACTCAGAGAAAGAGGAGGAACCGGCAGAGAAGGAACGAAAACAAAAGTTTTGCTTTTTGCTAAGCCGTGGGAATCTTATCTCCAGCACTCGGCAAAGTGTGTGTGTGTGTGTCGTGTTGTGAGCGCGCACGCATGTGAGACCCAAACCTCACAATCTAGAATCAGAATAGAGCTGGAAGGGACCTCAAAGATCTTCTAGTCCAGCCCCCACTGCTCAACCAGGAGATCCTGACAGAATAACAAAAGTTGGAAGGGACCTCGGAGGTCATCTAGTCCAACCTCCCCGCAAGGCTCAAGCAGGAGACCATCTCAGACAATACACCCCTTCCAAACCAGAGCCCCCACCCCACCCCAGATACCCGTCACCCCCCCACCTGTGCAAGGCTCAGGGATCACATCGCGCTCCTTTGCGCTCGGCGGCTCTGGGACGCTGGGTTCGGGAGCCCCCCGCTCGGCCCTGGGGTGCACCTCAGGTTTGGCAACATTGACGTTGGCACCTGGAAAACAGGGAGGCAATCAAAAAGGCTGCCCGAAAAGGGATCTCTGCTACCCCGTTGGCTTTCCCCACCTCACAGGGTTGGCGTTGCGACCCGAAAAACCCTCCAGTCTGGCAATACAGGCAATCCTCGATTTACAACAATGACGGAGCCCAAACTTTCTCTCATTAAGTGAGATGGTTGTTAAGGGAGTTTCGCTCCATTTTACGGCCTTTCTGACCATGGTTGTTAAGTGAAGCCCTGCAGTTATTGAACTAGTCACATGGTCGTTGAGCGAATCCGGCTTCCCTGGTGACTTTGTCAGGAGGTCACAAAAGGGGATCATGTGGCCCTGGGGACACAGCAACCGCCATAAATATGAGTCAACGGCCAACCGTATGAATGTTGGGGATGTCGCAACGGGCATAAATGAGAAAAACAAGTGAAAAATCTCTTTTTTTTCAGTGCTGTAACTTCGGTCACTAAACGAATGGTTGTAAGTCAAGGACTACCTGGAATATGGCAAAATTTACCAAAATGCACCTTCAGGTAGTCCTTGATTTATGACCATTTGTTTAGGTGTCCCTTTGATCTTCCAATGGTGCTGGGGGAAAAAAAAGCACTTAGAACCGGTCCTCGCACTTACGACGCTCGCAGCATTCTTGGAGTCACTGATTGCCGTTTAGGCACTTGGCTAAGGGCTCCTATTTATGACAGAGTCCCTGGAGTCACACGATCATCATTTGCGACCGTCGGACTTTAAAATCAAATAAGGGCAGCCAAACTCGCTTAACGGCTATGTGCTTCACTTAACGACAGTGGCAATTCACTTAACAATCGTGGACAAAAACGACATAATAGAACTGCAATCTTTAACAATGGACGTTCCGATCCCAATCAGGGTTGTAAGTCGAGGACTAGCTGTAAGTACATATAAAGAGACCGGCCGGCTGCCGATTAACCTGGTTATACCGAATGCTAGCAAGGATTCGTAGTTCTCCTTCAGAAGATTGTTGTACAGGTCTTTCTGCCAATCAGCCAAATTCTTCCACTCTTCGGCGGAGAAATAAACCGCAATGTCCACAAATGTAACCGGCATCTGCAAATAAAATAAATTTAAAAAAAAAAAAACACACACACAAACACACACGAGACTTCAAGCAGGGCAAAAGGCGGCTTTCGCACCCAGACCCTGAATTTGTTGCGCCTTCCCAATCACAGTCCTGAATGGCCACTGCTCCGGTTCTTCCCTGAAAAACTTGGCAAAAAAGATGCAAGAAAAATGAGACATGCTTCCCAGTTTATTTTTTTTTTAATTTAAATTTCAAATTTTTAAGTTCATTTAAATTTTTTTTAAAAAATCTATTTTTAATTTTTCCAAGTCCCTTTTTTTAAAGATTAAATATGTATGTATGTATGTATGTATGTATGTATGTATGTATGTATGTATGTATGTATGTAATTTATATGCCACCCTTCTCCTGAAGGACTCAGGGCAGCTTACAAGAACGAACAAAAAATTACATAAACATTAAAATCAATTTAAAATTATTTAAAATCACCCCTACGGATTCAGCCCATTTGGTGAAAAAGCCACGTCTTCAGTTCGCGGCGGAAGGAGAGGAGGTCGGGGGCTGTCCTGAGGCCGGTGGGAAGCCCATTCCAGAGGGTCGGCGCTCCCACAGAGAACGTTCTCCCCCTGGGGGCCGCCAGCCGACATTGTCTGGCTGACGGCACCCTGAGGAGGCCCGCTCTGTGAGAGCGCACGGGACGATGGGAGGATGGCAGGAGATGATCCGGCAGGTACCCCGGGCCTAAGCCATGTAGGGCTTTATAGGTGAGCACCAGCACCTTGAAACGGACCCGGAGAGCCACCGGCAGCCGGTGCAGCTCACACAGGAGAGGTGTCACACGGGAGTACCGAGAAGCCCCCATAACAACCCGCGCAGCCGCATTCTGGACTAACTGTAGTCTCCAGGTGCATCCCAAGGGCAGCCCCATGTAGACGGCGTTACAGTAGTCCAACCGAGACGTAACAAGGGCATGAGTGACCGTGGCAAGGGCATCCCGATCTAGGAAAGGGCGCAACTGGCGCACCAGGCATACCTAAGCAAAGGCCCCCCCTGGTCACGGCCGTCAAATGATCTTCTAAAGATAGCCGTGAGTCCAGGAGGACCCCCAGACTGCAGACCCTTTCTGAGGGAGTAAGGACCTCCCCTCCCATCACAAGTGACGGGGCCACTAGATCACGAGATGCCAGTATCCATAGCCACTCAGTCTTGGATGGGTTGAGTCTGAGACTGTTTCTTCCCATCCAGGCCCGTACCGCTTCCAGGCAGCGGGACATCACAGAAAGAGCATCCCTAGGGTGATCCGGGGTGGAGATGTAGAGCTGAGTGTCGTCAGCATATTGATGGTACCTCACCCCAAAACCACGAATGATCTCACCCAGCGGCTTCATATAGATGTTAAAGAGCAGAGGGGGAGAGAACTGACCGCTGAGGCACCCCACATCTGAGGGGCCTCGGGGTGAATCCCGTCCATGCAAACTGCGAGCGGCCCGAGAGGTAGGAGAACCACCGTAAAACGGTGCCTCCTACCCCCAACCCCCCGAGTCGCTGCAGTAGGATACCATGGTCGATGGTATCGAAAGCCGCTGAGAGGTCAAGAAGGACCAGGATGGAGGAGCAACCCCCATCCCTGGCCCGCCAGAGATGGGGGTTGCTAAAGATGGTTTCCTTGCTAAAAAAAAAATCCAAAGTGAAATTAATTGCCAATCCAGTGACAACATATAAGGAGAAAAATGTAAGTTTTTGTCTTTTTCTCTCTAGTTTATATTTTAATTTTAAAAGTTTCTTTTCTTTTTAAAATTAAACTTTTTTCTCTTTTTAAGATGATTGTTTTGCCCCTAAAAAAATTGCTAAAAGTGAATTCCTTACAAATCCAGTGACAATTGATGAATAAAAAAAACAAGATACATTTATATTTTAAGTTTGTTTCTTTTCTTTTTAAGATTTTTTCTTATGATTAAAAATTCTTAAAAATATTAAAAATAAAAAATTATTTTCTGTTTAAGATTTTTTTTATGATTAAAAAAAATTTTGCCAATAAAAAAATACTAAGTGATTTCATTGTGAATCCAGTGATTATAGACAAGTTAAAAAATGTTTTTTCCATTTTTCTTCCTAGTTTATATTTTAATTTTTTAAAAAACGTTCTTATCCAGATTAAAGATTATTTGGTTAGTAAAAGTAAATTAATTGGCAATCCAGTGGCAACTGATTGGTAGAAAATATAAGATACATTTTTAAAAAAAATCTTCCTAGCTTTTATTTTTAATTTTTTTAAAGTTTCTTTTCTTTTTAAGATTATAGTTTGTTTTCTTATTTAAAAAATTGCAAAAAGTGAATTCATTAGAACTCCATTGTTGAACGATAAGTAGAAAAATATGATTCTTTTTCTTTTCTTCCATGTTTGTAGTTTTAATTTTTCTAAGTCCCTTTTTTAAGATGATTCTTCTTATTTAAAAATTACCAAATGCGAATTCAATCGTAAATCCCGTCACAATTTGGAAACAGAAAACACGTTTTTTACAATTTCCTTTCCTAATTTTGGATCTTTCGTTTTGAAAAATATCTCTCCTGACACAACCGCCCTGCGAGGTAGGTTGGCCTAAGGTGGGGGGGAAAAAAAAGGATTGATCTCAAGTAAGATGTCTGGGCAGACCATAAATGGCATCTCCCCACTTGGAGCCCATCAAATCAGGGTTTGTGTCCCATCAAAAAGTTGGAGGACCTGAGTCCATAAGTCTCCAGATGTTTCAGGAGGGCAATTCCCATCCCACCCATCTGAGAAACAACTTATGGAAGTTCTGGTCCCAACCCAACATCTGGAAACCAACACAGGGGAGAAGATGTCCTGATCTAGCCCATTGTGGTTCCTTCAGGAGAACCATCACCCATTCTTCTGAGGAACCAGCCTCTTCCCTTCCCAGGATTCCGTCTTCCACTCAAGACCCGTTCCCCCTTCCTCTTTGAGGACCCCTGACCTTGGGGATTTCTCCCTTGGATCCCGGGGGCAGCCTGAGGACCCAGAAATTGCGGTTCTTGAGAAGGTTCTCCATGTTCTCCAGCCTTCTCTGCAGGAGGCCGTATTCTTGAATGAGGGTGCCCAAGACGGCCCATTTGTTCTCCAGCTGGTTCCCGAATTCCATAGCTGTCTTCTCACAATCCAAGAGCTTCTTCTCGGCTGTCCCGGATCGGCCTTCCAAGCTGAGCAACCGGGTGGCGAGCAGGTCGATCTTCCTCTCCATGGCTTGGACGGTGGCCACCACGCTCCAGAGGGAGGCCTCAGCGGTGTGCAGTTGCGCTTCTCGCATGTGGCTCAGCTCGGGGACCAGAGGAGGTTGGAGGGGCATCAGATGTTGAGCTTCCACGTTCCATTCCTGGAGCTGGAGAAGACCAAGAAGACCAAGAAGGAAGAAGAGAAGATAGAAACTCAACCCTTGTTGAGTGACCTTCACCAAGGAACCTTTGCCAATTGCAGGAAGTCCTCAGCTTACAACAGTTCTTTCAGAGTTACAACTGCACTGTAAAAAGAGACTCAGGACCCTTTTTCACACTTACGACCGTCGGTGCCTCTTCACGCTCATGTCATCAAAATTTAGACAACTGACTCACACTTATGACGGTCGCAGTGACCTTCTGATGAGCAAAGTCATGGGGAAAGCCGGGTTCACTTAACAACGGTGTCACTAAATTAAGAACTGCAGGGATTCACTTCACGACGGCAGGAAGAAAAGTTGTCAAATGGGGCAAAACTCACTTAACAACCGTCTCACTTAGTGGCAGTAATTTTGGGCTCAATTGTGGTTGTAAATTGAGGATTATCTGTGTTTTAGCGCATGCTACTCCCTCGGGGCCCAATGCTCGGACAGGGAGACTTCAGTGGGATCAGAATGAAATTGCAGCGTTTCATGAGGACTACAAACCTGCGTTAAATGGTGGATATTTATAAAAAAGGGGTAATATGCATGCGATTAAGTGGTGTAATATCTGGAATAAAACACACTTCTACACAATTCAAGTGGCTTTTTCAGCTTGATAAATTTATGTTCATAAAAGGGAGGCTCTTATATCATCTACAAAATCGGCTAAAATTGAATTTACAAAAGACGTAGCAGCCGGTACTATACAGCTAGCCCTCGACTTACAACCATTCGTTTAATGACCGTTTGAAGTTGCGACGGCACTACAAAAAAGTGACGACCAGTTTTCGCACTTATGACGGCTGCGGCCTCCCCTGTGGTCACATGATCCAAATTCAGACGCTTGGCACCCGACTTGTATTTATGACAGTCGCGGAGTCCCAGGTCATGTGATCTCCCCCTTTTGCGACCTTCGGACCAGCGACGTCAAGGGGGAAGCCCAGATTCACTTAACAGCCGAGTAACTAAGGAGTAATCGAGTTGCTAACTTAACAACCGCAGGGATTCACAACAGCTGTGGCCAAGAAGGTCGTAAAATGGGACAAAACTCACACAATTTGTCTCGCTTAGCACTGGTAATTTGGGGTTCGGTTGTGGTCGTAACTCGAGGACTCCCCCCTGTATATGGAATTTACCAGCCACCTGGCGGATGATAAAACAGGGACCGGTACCGTCAGGAAGCCTGAAGACTACAACTCCCAGAATTCCCCAGTCAATGCGAGCCGGCTGGTTGGGAATTCTGGGAAATGGAGTCCCCCAGGCCTGGAGAGTGCCAGATTAGAGGAGACAGACCGAAAGACAAAAGGTGTTTGTCTGTCTTCAGGCCTGACTCTTCTTATGAGCCTGGCCTGCTCTGCAGGGTTGTTGTGATGGGACTCACCCACGTTTCTGAGGAGGAGGAGGGGAGGGGTCCTTACAGAGCCTGCCTCGTGGAGGGGGGGTGGGGGGTTTACCGGCCAGGAACAGGAGGTGCTGCTTCAAAGGAGAGGGATCTACTGGGTTCCCTGGGGTGGGGGCAATCACGGAGAAGGGAATCTCCTAGAGCCCTGGGCAATGACCATGGGGTCACTGGGATCTCCTGGACCCCTTGGGGGCAGGGGGCAGTCAGGGGGATCTCCTGCACCCCTTAGGATGGGTGGGGGGTGGAGAACCCCTGGATCGCCTGGGGGCAGGGGCCGATCCTGGGGTGGGGGGGTGGGGTTTCTACTCGCTCCCTTGGAGATGAGGGGTGGCTGTGGGGTGGGGGTCTCCTGGATTCCTTGGGGTGAGGAGGCAGGCGGAGGGAGAAGCCCAGGATCTCCTAAGGCAGCTGGGAAGAGGGGGGGGAATCGCCTGAGGTGAGAGGGGCACAAGGGGCCTCTTGCAGTGGGGGGGGGGTCAGGGATCTCCTGGGGAGGGGGGGAAAATCTGGAAATCTCCTAGATTCCTGGGGGGAGGGGGGGAATGAAGTCAGGAGAGGATAGGAGGGGAGGGGATCTCCTGTGATCCCTTGGGGGAGTGGGGCAGCCAGGGGAGGGGGATCTCCTGTGATCCCCTGGAGGGTCGTGTGTGTGTGTGTGTGTGTGTGTGTGTGTGTGTGTGTGTGTGAAATCTCCTGAACCCCCTGGGACTGCAGGGCAGGGCATATGGTGGGTGGGTGGGGGGATCTCCTGGATCACTTGGGGGAGGGGGGGATGCGTGTGGAATGGGGGAGGGGGATCCAAAGGCGTGGGGGGGGGAAGAAGACTGGGATCACTTAGGGGGGGATCTCCCAGCTCTCTTGCGGGGGGGGGGGGGAGGAGGGGAGGGAGATCTGCCGTGAGGGGAGGGTGGAGAATGAGGGGCGGGCAGGAGGAGGGAGAGCGGGGAGCCCCTCCCCCTCCGACAACCCCCCCCTCCAAAAAAAAACTTGCTCCTGAGCGGCATCCCCCTCCCTCCCTCCCCATCCTCCCCCCCCTCTTTCCTCCTCCTCCTCCAGCAGGGGAGAGCGCGGGGGGGGGAGGGCTAAGCAAGACCCCCCCCACATCCTCCTTCCTCGAAGCCCCCCCACCCAGGCGGCCCGATGCCCCCTCCCCCCCCCCCCCCTCCCCAGTGGGTCGGAGCTGCGGGGCCTGCTGGGGGACCCCCGCCCGGGTTGTGGGGGGGAGGGGCGGCCGGGGGTCTCTCTCACCTGGGCGGGGGCCCACTCCGCCATGGCGGGCGGGCGGGCGGGCGTCGCTGGCGCGGGGGCGGCGGCGTTGGGGAGGGGGCGGCGGGGCCGGGCGGCGTCGTCGTCTGATCGGCCAGGAAGCCTCGGGCGGTGCTCAATCCTTGCCGGGAGGCGCCCCCTGCAGGGCTCGAGAGGTACAGCCCCGCCCTCCGCCCCGCCCCGTCCCGGGACCTTCGCAGACCCCTCCCACGCCCCCCCCACCCCCCAAATCCCATTCACAGGTCCCCCAGGCAGCCTGAACAGCAGGAAGCTGCTTCACACGTGCTCTGGGCTGACACGTGTCCTGGAAGACCTAGGAGGACCCACGCGCTGCAACATCCCAACTCCATCCCCCGTTTTGACTCCCCCTCCCACCCCCACCCCCAGTGCTGATCTCCTCTTTGTCCCCCCATTGCAAACCCCCTTCACCCCTGCTTTGGACGGAAGCCCCGGGCTCAGGGCAGCCTAAGGATCTGGGGATCTCCCATCCCAGCCAAGAGGATTCCAGGGGAAAGGATCTCCCCTCGGTCACCCATCCCAGCCCCAAGGATGCTGTTTCACACGCGTGTCCTGGTGGCCTTGGGCCCAAGGCAACTTAAGGAGCCGGAGAACTGCCTTCCCAACCAAACAGATCCCAGGATGAGGATCTCTTCTTGGTCCCCCATCCTGGCCCTGAGGAGGCTGCTTCCCGTATGCTTTGGACGGACCTAGGTACTGGAAGCCCTGGGCCCAATGCAGTCCAACAGTTCATTTAGTGACCAAAGTTACGATGGCCCTGAAAAAAAAGGACTTAGGACCATGTTTCACCCTTACGACCGTTGCAGCATCCCCGTGGTCGCAACGCTCAAAATTCAGACGCTTGACAAGTGACTCATATTGATGACGGAGGCAGAGTCCCGGGATCACGGGATTTCCCGCTTTGCAACCTTTCAACACCGAAAGCAAAACACAGAAGCCAGATTCACTTAACAGCTGTGGAACTAACTTCACAGTAACTCACTTAACGACTGTGGCAAGAAAAGTCACACAATGGGGTACGTGTGTCTCACTTAGCAACACAATTGGGGGTCAATTGTGGTCATAAGACGAGGACCTACCTGTAGCTGGGGATCTGTCATCCAAGCCAAGTCGGTTGGAAACAGGTTGGTTTCTTCCTGCCTTCCTCTGGGCCGCTTTCGAATCCACCTCCTAGCTTCTACCCTGGGATTTCCTGGTGATGCCCCATCCAACTCCCAGGTGCATCCTTGCAATCTTCATCCAGCCAAGTAGGTTTTAGAGAGGATCTCCTCTTGGTCCCTCATCCCAGCACCAAGCTTGGTCTTTTTTCTGGCTTCCTGCTTCCCAATGCCCCCACTATCCTGTATCCCTGGGATTTCCTGGTGGTGCCCCATCCAATTCCCAGCCACCTCCTTGTGTGAAATCCACACATCCGCGGAGCTCCCTACTTTTCACGCATGCTTTTGGGTGGGGGAAGCAAAGCTGGTTCAGCTCAGCTTGATTGAACCTCACCTCGGTCTTCCCAGCCAAGTCGACCCTGGCAAGGATCTCCTCTTGGTCTCCCATCCCAGCTCCAAGCTTTTCCTTTGTTCTTCCTGTTTGCTCAGACAGGAGATGCAGGTGAGTTTCCTCCTGCCTCTTTTCGGGCTGGAAAAAGGGGTGGGCTTCAGCAGGCCCCTTTTTAACTCCCCCTCCGAAGCCTGTACCCTGAGATTTCCTGGTGGTACCCCACCCGATTTCAAACCAAATCCTTGTATGAAATCAACAGTTCCCTACCTCGCCCGGGGATGCTTCACATGTGCTTTGGCTGGAAGCCCTGGGGGCAAAATGATCCTGCCACGGCCCGCTGTAGCCAAGTTCTTTTTCCCAGGGTGGGTTCTCTCTTCCCAGCCAAATCTAACACCCCAGGGATTTCCTGATGGTGCCCCATCCCATCTCGCTCCCTTTTCTTCTCCGACCTGTTTCATCGATTTTCTTCCCATTTCAGAACCAGCCCTCTCCCTCAAAGAGACACCAGGGGGCGGCCTCCTGTCTTCTTCCTCTTGCTTTCCAGCCCATCCTCCTTGTCTGTACCCCTGGGATTTCCTGGTGGTGCCCCATCCAGTGTCCAACCAGCTGGTGTGAAATCAATTCCCCCACTGAGAGATTCACAGGGAGGCTTCTTCTGCTTTGATTGAGGGGGGGGGCATGGATGGGATTTTACTGTTGGGATCCTGATCTTGACCAGATATCGATGCATATTAAAAAAAATATGTATTTTTTTTCAAGGATTGCCTAGGGCACGTACGAAAGAAAAGTTAGTAAAATTAGATTTTCCCCTGCAAGCTCAGCAGCTGAACTTCATCCCAGGCAACCCAGATTCAACCTGCTTTGTTTTTTTGAGGTTCCCTAAAAATAAGCTCTGGGGGTTTTGGTGTCCTGAGAGATCCAAAGTTGAATTATCAGAACCATTTCCTGCACAAACACACATATACAAGCTAACTTTACTTATTTAACTCCCAAAATCCCTCAGCCGCAATGCTTTAATAATGAAGGACTTCGACTCCCAGAATCCTCCAGCCGGGATGCTTTAAGAGGGAAGGACTTCAAATCCCAGAATTCCCCAGCCAGTATGCTGGATTAACTGGGGAATTCTGGGAGTTGAAATCCACAGTCCTTAAACCTGCTGATATTGTGAAACACCAGAACTGTATATTGTGCTTTTATTGACAGATGAATAAAAAATGAATAAAGGATTTTAAAGCCACGGATTAAATTAGTGCAAATTATTCAAATTGCATTTAGTTCTGTTTTTAAAACATTTGCTTTTTTCCCTATGACTCCTGTAAATTTAGCTCCTCTTTTCCTAATGGGGGAAATGCAATAGAGATGATTTTGCAATAAATCTTTAAAAAGTTTTCAATTAAATCCGTTCCTATTGCAACATGTATGGGAGAAAACTTGGAACCCGTGGCCCAAATGACAACAAACAGCCAGCTCTGCAGGGTTTCCAAGCCAAAAAGGCCGATGGAACTCCTAGAGACTTTTCCCAGCCTTTTCTCACTCCGCTCTAGCAAGGAAAGTTAACCCCTCGAGGGTGGGCGGAGCCCAGGGGGCGGGACGTAGAACGCGATTGGATGCCGCTTTTCATCCGGCGCGACGCTATCTCGCCCGAGAGCGGATGCGGCGGAAAGTTGTTCGGCAGCGACACCTACCGGCAGAGGAGTGGAGAGAGCGTTGCACATGCGCAGAAGACACCAAAAAAAGGTAAAATGCTTTTAAGGATGCGTGAAAAAGCCTTCTGCAATTCGACGACCGCGGGCGGCAAATCGTATTATTCCCGCAATGAGAGCATGATGGGAATTGTAGTCCGACAACTGGCAGGCAGGGCTTAAAATTCCATATCCCAAGCAAAACTGGACTACAAAGCAGCTTCCACACACTTCTTCCGCAGGGATAGCTCCATATTCTTCTTGCTCCCCAAGAAAAATGGGGTCTCCACGTGCCCCCCTTTTTTTCTTCCCGTTTGCAAGGCTAGAAAGAGCAGGGGGCTGACTGTACGCTTGGGAAGCTAAGCAGGGTCTGCTCGGGTCACGATTTGTATGGGTGACAAGCTCATTCAGGGCTCCCCAAACTGTGGCTCATGGACCCTTGCCATAAAGGTATCAGCCTCGAATTTAACAAACTGAAGTGATTCATTTCACAACAGTGGCAAGAAGGTTTCGTAAAACGGAACCAAATTCCCTTAATTGTCGCACTTAGCGGCAGACATTTGGGGCTCAATTATTGTCGTTAAGTCAAAGATTCCCTGTATTTATTTATTAAATTTAGATAACCTGGAAGGTTATTTAGAGATTGGTCCAATTAGAGATTGGACAGCCATTTGTCACAAATTAGAGATGGTTTCCTGCTTGAGCAGAGGGCTGGATTAGATGACCTCCAAGCCCCCTTCCAACAGTGATTGTTATAAAGCAAGCAGAAAAATGATTGAAATTTAACATTATGCAAAAAAAAAAAAAAAAAAAAGGCATCCTCGACTTAGTACCACAAGGGAGCCCAAATCTTCCGCTGCTAAGCGAGACAGTCAAGTGAGTTGTCAAATTTTACGACTTTCCTTGCATCGGTCAAATGAATTGCTGCAGTTGTTAGGTTAGTCACACCGTGGTTAAGTGAATCGAGCTTCCCTATTGATTTTGCTTGTCAGAAGAGAATCACACGAGCTCGGGACACCGTGACCGTCATAAATGTGAATTGGCGACCGAGTGTCTGAATTTTGATCACAATGTAACGGTTGTTAAGTGTGAAGGAGTGTCGTAAGTCATATTGTTGAGTCCCACTGCAGCATCGGTCAGTAAATGAACGATTTTTAAGTCGAGGACTACCGTTGTTCTCAACGTACGATGACTCGTTTAGTGCCCGTCCAAAGTTAAAATGGCACTGAAAAAACCAAAGACTTCGGAGAGTCTCCGAAAGATTTACTGTGTCCACCAGGGGGCAGCAGCAAACTTGACTAATGGATGATTTTGAAATAAGTAAGACTAAAAAATACAGCCAGCCATTGATCCCCTCAATGTTTGTCGGTAAGCGAGACAGCCTTGAAATGAGCTTTTCCCTCATTTGACGAGCTTTCCTGCCTCCGTTGTTCAGTGAATCTGGTGTCAGGATTCCAAGTAACGCCCCCAACGAAAGAAGACTCCAAGGCTTGAAGTTCCTCAAAGTTCCACTTTATTAGAGATGTCATATTGGCACATCTGGGAAAACCAAAATCTGAAAGCTTCCAGGTTTCCCCCTGCCCAACAGAAACTCCAAGTCCCTGCCCAGCACCCACAAGTCCATTAGATGGTCCAATCCAAGCACCGTCCCCACTGCAGAGGCCTCTCAGCAGTTCCAGCCCTCCAGGTGCAGGGCAAGATGTCCTTGACTCTGAGAAAAGAATGTTAATATGACTACATATCACCCATGCTCCATACAATCCCCCCCCCTCCCAGCTTCCCACAGTAAGCAACGTGGCAGGCCTGAAGGCCCAACGCAAAAGATGGCTTCTTCCAGGCCTGACATCTGTCTTCCCCATAGACTCTCCTTGCCAAACATTCCCCGGTTCTCCTGGACTTACGACCGTTCACTCAGTGACAACGGCGGTGGGGGAAAAAAAGCAACTTAGGACCGTGTTTCGCACTTACGACCATAACAGTGTCCCCCTAGTGATTGAAATTCCGACGCTTGGCAACCAATTCGTATTTAAGACAAGCACAGTGTCCCACCAGTCACGTGATCCCTTTTGTGACCGTTTGACGAGCTAAGTCCACGGAGAAGCCAGATTCGCTTAACGACCACGTGATTAAGGAGAACTACAGTGATTCACTTAGCAGCAAGCCAGGTCACAAAACGGGACAAAACTCACTTAACAATATATTGGTTACAAATGAAAATTTGGGGCACTATTGTGATCGTAAGTCGAGGACTTCCTGTATAGCGGGCATGCTGCCCCGGTCCTTAAGTGTGATGACCGGCCGTTGTAACATCCAATTGTCATTAAACAAATTTTGGGGACAACTGCAGTCGTAAGCCAAGGACCTGTAGAAATAATGACCCAACCGCTCTTATATACGGGTAGTCCTCGACTTACGACCGCAATACAATCCAAAATTTCTGTTGCTAAGCGAGAGATGCTAATTGAATTGGGTCCCATTTTAAGAACTTTTCTGCCACTGTTGTTAAATGAATCCCTGCACTGGTTAAAAAAACATGGTTGTTAAGTGAATCCGGATTCCCCGTTGTCAGGTTGCAAAGGGGGGGGGGAATCATGTGACTCATCACGTGACTCCTGGGAACCGTCATAAAGAGGAATCAATTGCCAAGCCTCTGAATTTTGAACATGCACCCCACGGTCGTTAAGTATGACAAACGGCCGTTAAAGTCACTTTCTCCAAGGATGTAGTTAACTTTAAAAAAAGGTCACTCAATGAACTGTTGTAAGTCAAGGACTAACTCTACAAGGTTGGGAGCAAGGATGGGTAATCCTCAATTTATGACTTTGGCCCGGTCTACCCAATGCGAAGAGGAAACATGCCAGCAGATGCGACCCTCAATGAAATTGATTTTAACACCCCTGGTATAGGGGTGCTCCTGCTTGAGTAGGTGGGGTGGACTAGAGGATCTCCAAGGTACCTTCCAGCTCCATTCTGATTGACTTCCAAGCCCACCACACCTGTTATCGGGTTTGTGGAGGGCGAGTTGTGATGTTGTCTCCCCCTTCTCAAAACCACACAATAAAAGAAGTCAGGATACCCTCAAGGTAGGTGGGAGAGAGCCCCTCCTGACTTGGAATGTAGAGGAGGAGGAGGAGGGGGGGGGAAGGGAGATGAGAGGGCAAAAATGGGAAATGAAAGACAGGTAAGCCCTCAACTAACAACAGTTCATTTAGTGACCATTCAGTTACGACAGCTTGAAAAAAGCAACTTACGACTGTTTTTCACACTTATGACCGGCGCAGCATCTTCCACGGTCCCGTGATTTGAATGTTTGGCAACTGGTTCATATTTATGACGGTCGCAATGTCCTGGGTGTTGTGTGATCCCCTTTTGTGACATTTTAATGAGCAAAATCCATGGGGAAAACCAGATTCGCTTAACGACCGGGTTGCTAATTTAACAACGGCAGTGATTCCGGAATTTGGCAGGAAAATTCGTATAAGGGGCCGAAACTCACTTAACAATTGTTATCGTTTAGCAAGATAAATTCCAGGCTCATTTGAGGTCGTAAAGTCGAGGACTAAACTGTACCTTTCCTTCAAAAACAAAATCTGCAAAATTTCTATTACCCATCCGTTTTCTCTCCTGGAACTTGCGTTTTTTTGTTTTTTTTTTAACATTTAGCAGACTGTTTGGATGCTCCCAAAAAACAAATAATAAACCCTTGTTAACAGTTTGAAATGCTATTTTATTAGAAACCATGCAATCTTTAATAGATATATTTATATATATAAAACAATCACGAGCGTAAGAATTCTCGGTGGGAAGATGCAAACTGTAGGCTATTTGGAAGAGCCTCTGAAGGAGCATCTTGACGCCGGGGTAGTGGGAAAGAGAATAAGGTTATTTTTTTAATATTATTTTTACACAGTTCCTGTCCAATGCCTTCCAACGTAAAACCCCCTCCCCCTCCCCCAAAGCCTGAAGTACCCCCTTCTTAGACTCTCATCACAGGTCGTTTTAAAACTTTTATTTACAACTCTGTTTAGTGTCGTTTGCAGTGTGGAAGACGGAACACGGACGAGGATCTCCCCGTGAGACTCAAAAGCCAGAAGGACCCCCGATTCCATCCTGCACAGCCCAACGTTTTCAGACCCTCAAACACTTTCCCTGTCCCCCTGCCCGATTTCCTCGCACACATTCCAGCATATTTCAACGTCCCTCGGTGGTCGCAAAATCTCCAGAACGGATTCCCCCGTACGGTACAGACTGCTCAGTGTTTGATTTTTTTTGGGGGGGGGGGAACCACCTGCAAAGGCAGGGGTCTCTCAAAGGGGAACCCACCCGATATTTGTGCAGGAGTGGCTGACTTTCAATGCCCATCTTGAAGCTTTTGTCTGCAGCATGTTGGTGCAAAGACCCAGCTCTACATCGCCTATTTTCTCGTACACACTCACTCGCCTGTCCACTTTCATCTCCACTATCCCTGTCGCCCCCGGGGGAGGGAGGGGGGGCTTTGAGTCCCTTGGCTCCGTCGTTCTCCAAATATTTTGAAACACACACGCAAAAGAACCACCACACCAAAGAAAAGGGGGAGAAAAAAAAAGAGAAAAAGAAAACAAAAACAGAACACGGTTTAAAATGGCAGGATATGTGGATAACAAAGCCAACAGCGCTGCAAGAGCAGATAGATAATGGGTGCGGTTTTTTGTTGTTTTTTTTTAAAAAAAGTCTCCTATGGCAAAGGGAAGGGCGGTGGGGACCAGCAGGGAGGGAAGCATGAGCCAGCGGGGGAAAGCCACAAGGACCACTGCTCGGCACAGCCACACCGCTCAGTTGGGGCGCAAGGGGAAGAAGAACGAAAAAATTAAAAATTACGGCATTGTTTGCGGGGTACGCTAATGAGCATGACATTATGTGTGAGTAACAGGTCAGCGCTAAACGGGGTGCAAAGGAGATCTATGGGGTGAGAGGAAGTCGGAAAGAGAAGGGAAGAAAACTTGCCCCCGTTAACTCTCATCGGCCTTTGAACCCTTTCTCGGTGTCTCGAGCCGGGTTTCCGAGAAGAATCCAGTATTTGCGAAGCCAAATTTATTTGCAATTTGCACTTTGATCCTGGCACCCAAATAAGCAAGAATTGAAATGAGATCTGGGAGGCCAGAGATGAGCAAGATCCCCTGCCCGAAAGGTCATCCCATCCCATCTGAGTCCAAGACTCGTACGAAGGATCAATGGACAAACCACTTACTGGAACCCTACTGGAGCCTGGGCAGGTGGACGGCACCGGATTAAGGGAGGCAAGCTGAGGTTCTGGGGGATATTTGGGGTCTGGGATAAGGTAGAGGGCAGGAAAGCGAGTCACAAGCCTGGCCGAGAGAGCGCGGCAGAGGTGTCTTCTGCAAGGGGAGCCCGCCAGGGCAGCCGTGGGGGCAAGGAGGACACGGCGGCGGCGGCGGTGATGGTGCCCAGGCTCTCGCTGACAGAAGTGCTCAGTGGTGGGGAGGTGGAGGGGCTGCCGGCGCAGACCGCGAAATCCGCCCCGTGGTCCGTGCGAGCCTTCGCGTTCTCACGGAAGGTCAGCTTGTGGGATTCAATCTGCAGCGACACATTGGGGGGACGGTAAAAAGGGGGAGGGGAGAGACAAGGGACGGAAGGCGATACCAGAATGTCAGCATTAAAGGCCTGGAAAATAAAAGGCAATTGATTGCATTAACAACATTAGCAGAAGACAACATCACCCGCAAGCAGTCATTCAGGGTTTATTTCCCTCCCTTCCCTCCGAGCCCTGGAAAAAAAAAACCAGAATTCAATGGCTCTCCCAGACCCGCTACCTCCTCTAGGGCCGCCAGTTTCCCTGGGCACTTACTTGTCTCTTGTATGTGAGTGTCGAAGCACTGAATTTCCCTTTGGTCACCACTGTCCTGCGCGGGCGCGATCGGCCCTGCGCCATTCTCCTGCGGGGCACTGCTGCCCGATGGGGGCGCTCCGTTTTCTGGGGCTGCCTCCTTGCCCCCCTCAGTCTAGAAGGAAACAGTGGGGTGGGGGGGACAATGAAGGGTCACTACACACAGGGAAGGGGATGGGATGTACGGGAGGACGGCTGGGAGGAAGAGGGTCCCGCTCTCTCTGGAGGGAACGAACTGACAGCGGAATGGGACAACTTGCCGCAGCCATCACGGCAAACCCACTGCGGCTATTTTGCCACGGCCATCTCTCCTCAAGACAGCACACCGCTGTCGCCGCAGGACAATTCTACCTGGAATAATATGATGTCATCCGCCAATGTTTCTTTTGTCAGCCATCTTTGATTACAGGGCTGCCACAGTGAGAACGGGAGAGTAGCGAAGGGAGTAAACTGTAACAACGTTCTTTCACATGAGATCAAGGCTGGGCTAGAGGGGAGGGAAGCAATTTTGGCAGCCGCTGAGACAGGGGATGGATTGGGCCATGGGATGTGAATGTCACCGGACAGGGCAGGGTGTGAGTTTTAGTGTGGGTGGGGGAAAACACGGGATTTCAGATTCGGCTTTTCCCCAGATGTGCCAATACTCTAATAAAATCTTACTTTAATGGACTTTGTCTCGGAGTTCTGAATTGCAATGAGGGGTTAGTTGGAACGCTGACATCTTTGACATTTTGTCCATGGACGAAACCAGAAATAATGTTGAGGAAACAGCAGCGGATAATATTTATCATGTTATCCCGCATGGAATTGTCCCGGCGCGAGTTGGCCATGTCGACATGGCCACGACAGATTGGCCCCACCGTGATGGCTATAGCGAGTTGGCTGTGATCAGTTGTCCTAGACAGAGAGGCTTCAACACGAATGTTCCGAGAAGATCGTCATTTAGTCTGGGGCGAAACTGATCCCTTTCGCTTCAATCTCATCCAGGCTCGTTTCTCCTGATCAGCTCCTCACCTCCTCTGTCCTGCATCCCAGCCCAAATATTGTACTCTTCTGCAATCTCGGGGACTGGGTTGGCTGTGAAGTGGAGACGTGAGAACACGGTGGCATGTGGGGAACGGCGATGGAGGGACGACAGACACAGGCGATTGTTGAGAAGGATGCTGGGAGGGGACCTGTCCTGTCCCTCCCCCACTCAAAGACTTTTCTGAAGGCTCGAGACAGGCACATTAGGAGGAATTAAAGCTACCCAGGATGCAACTCCGACTGTTTAGATCAGGGGTCTTCAAACTTGGCAGCTTTAAGACTGTGGACTTCAACTCCCAGAATTCTCCAGCCAGCATAGCTGGCTGGAGAATTCTGGGAGTTGAAGTCCACAAGTCTTAAAGCTGCCAAATTTGAAGACTTCTGCTCTAGACGCCCGTGAGAGGGACTTTTAGAAATGTTAACTCTCTCTGTTGTCGAGGAACTCGACTGGTCTTTATAGCAGTCATCAAGGATTGAAGACAACCTTAAGGCAATCCTCGACTTACGGCCACAATTGGGAGCAGAATTTTGTTCCCTAAACAATATGGACATTAAGTGAATCATCACATGACTGGGACCATTTTTACTGTGGCTGTCATTGTTAAATGAATCCCGTAGTTGTTAAGTGAACTACCTGGCTGTTAAGTGAGTCACATGGTCATTAAGCGAATCTGTCTTCCCAGATTGACTTTGCTTATCGGAAGTCAGCTGGGAAGGTCGCAAGTTACAACCCGTCGTAAATGGATTTGGTGGCCAAGTCGCCCAATTGCGCTTAAGTGACTACAGGGGGGCGGCTGTGACGGTCGTAACTTTGGGGATGGGTCGTACGCTACTTTTTCCTAGGCCGTCATCCCTGTTGATTGATCGACCGATTGAATTGATCGGTCGCCCATCTCGTAATGAAACAAAACCGTTATTAAACAAAGGTCCATGGAACCTCTCGGTTACCCGGGTCACGATTGTCCCGAAGGTGCTTAAACAAAAAAAAGGAAAAAAAGAGGCAGCTGGACATTCTTTGTTTTTCTTTGAAGACATTTTGCTTCTCCTCCACGAAGCTTCTTCAGCTTCTGACTGGATGGTCTCCTTGCAGACAGCTGGTCATTTGCATCCTGTTTTTGGTGGTTTGTCGGTGAGCCTTCTTGGCACTGCTGAACATCCTGCAGAAAACACAGCTCCACAACACCGTCCTCCCAGCAGTGCCAAGAAGGTAACATACCTGTCCACACTCCTCAGGTGGTGCTCTGCCCCAGCTACGGACCCCAAAGAACGCAGCACACACAAAATCTATACAAAGCTTATTTTACTCAAATAACTCAGTCTTTTTCAACCAAAGGCTGTTAATAAACTTCCTTAACAGCCTACAAGAATTCTAAGATAAGGTAATCACAGTCTTACTAGGGTTGGCAGAAAGCCCAGAAGCAATTTTGCAAAGAATCCAGACGCGAAGGAGAGTGAACTAAAGTTGTTCCCTACAGCTTGCTGCAATCGGTGTTCCTCCTTAAATAGGCTAAGGGAGTTGCCAATTAGCCCCAAGCCTTATTCTCGAGGAGACCTCCTCCTGACGAGCCACTCCTGCCTTTTGGCAGCTCTGCGCGCCCGTGCATTGAGAAGAGGCTCCTCCTCTTCGTCCTCTTCACTTAAGGGAGCTTCTGGAGGTTCTGAAGGCCCTGGCTGAATCCCCGCCTCTGGCACCACATCTTCTCCAGCCTCCTCACTGTCTGACTCGAGCGCCAGATGCACAGGCTGCTGGCGCAGCACCACACCAGCCTCCTCGCTGTCGGAAACAGCTACAATCTGCACAGGCCACTGACGGGCCACAACAGGTCACCGACAAACCTCCAAGTAGCTTCAACGCCTCTCTAAAAAGAATGCAAATGACCAGCAAGGAGTATTAATCCTTCCGTTCCACACCATCCATTCAGAAGCCGAAGAAGCTTCTCGGAGGAGAAGCGAAAGGTCGTCAAAGAAAAAACCGAGGAAATCCAGTTGCCTCTTGAAGAAAGAAAGAAAGAAAAAAAAAAAGCACCTTCGGAACAGTTATTAAACGCACGGTCGCAAGTCAAGGACTACCCCTTTAGGAGATGTTGCAGAGACGTCTCTTCTCTGGTGGAGAGATAGAACGGGAGTGGGCAGAGGTCCTGCTCATGCCCCCACAGGATGACGACGCACCAAACGGAGATGGACCATGTGGAAGGCTGCCTGCCAACTCCTCCTCCTCTCTGCTCACATCATGGCTACCAAGAGGAAGAACAGATGTGAGCAGAGGAAGCTGGAGAACATCACACAAGATCTCCCTCCTCGGTTCTTCCTGCTCTGCTACTCGTTACCCAGCCTCCCTGAGGGCCCACCATATTATTAACAAGTCCTCAGTTTCCACCTAGTGTGCTCTAGAGATTTGATTCAACAGGCCACTAAGAACTTCGTTCACGGTGAGGAACCTCAACGAGGGTAGGCCTCAAGTGTACCTTCACAGTGCCTCCAGCTGGCACATGCCCGACATTGTCCAGAGAGCCCACCTTAGCTTGGGCCTTCTCCTTGAAGTTCAACTTCTGGTTCTCGATCTTCACGTCTCCTCCGCCTGAAAGAAAAGAGGGAAACGTAATTTTCAACCAGAGGTCCATCGTCCTGACCACAACAACTTGGTGAACAGCCTTGTTACCAACCACCAACTCAGATCGCTCTGCTTGGGGCAGGGTTGATGGGTGAGTGGAGTGGTGTGGTGGCCTAGAGGCGGAGCTCTCGCCTCAAAATCAGGAGGCTGTGAGTTCGATCCTAGGTAGAGGCAGATATTTCTCTCTCTGGGCACTCTTGAGAATGTATCTGCTGAACAAAACTCCTCACTGGCGACAGGGAAGGGCATCCGGCCATTAAAAAACACTCTGCTAGCTCCATTCAATTGCCTAGACTCCACCCCACAAGGGATTATGGGGTTGTTAAAAGGAGATGATGATGAGGGATGATTGGTGAGTGGTCCGTGAGGAACCTCTGGAGGGAAGTCCCATCCCATCATTAACGGCTTCTCTGGGGGGGGGGGGTCCAAGTAGGATCTCCGCCAACGTTCGATCTGTTGGTTGAAGGAGATCACCAGACAAAGCCACCTGAATTCTCCATGCCCTTATCTTTAAGAATACGACTTACAACTACCAGAATTTTCATCGTAAGTCATTACGGTCCCCAAGATCTGATTTGGCGACCCTTTCTACCATGGTCGCTAAGTGAATCACCGGTTGTTCAGTGAATGCCAGGGTTTCAGGTGCGAAATCAGGGAAAAAAAACCAATGGTTGCGAGTCATAAACTGACAATTGCAGAGCACACTACAATACAAGCCAGTGGCCAAGGGCCAAGGGCATGAATTGTGATCATGTGACTTGGTCAGGAAGTGGTCATAAGTGCGAGGACCAATTGTAAGTGCGAGGACCAGATTCTTTGCCGTATACTCGAGACGTATACTCATTAGATCTCACCGAGTCCTTCTGATGCTACAGATTGGTTGTGATCCAACAGATAGATCCTGGAGGTATCTAAGATAGGATCTGACCATTTACTGATGTGTCTTCTTCTAGGACACATCGGCTTGGGTTGGCTCTTCAAGGTAGGCCAGGTTCAAGAAACAGAGACCACGTTGCTACCTGGCTGCAACAAGAAAGGACAGGGTCATCACTTCTGCCTTGGTGGCTCTTTTGACACCTTCTCCAAGATCAACCATAAGTCCTCTGAAGCTTCAACCAGTCCTTCTGAGAGATCATCTACCTCCAACCCAAGGCTCTGGAGCTGCAGATCTTCTGTCCAGTGGATGTCTTTTGGACTCTCCTTTGCTCAAAGATCTGCTCCCAAGATCCTGTCCCTCTGGATTTATGCTCTTGGGAGATTAAAGTTGGAGGATAGCACCATGACCTGCTTAGAAGCTTCCCAGAAGACCTCTAGGCCCAATGTAGAAAGATCAGGATTCTGGGTTGAAGGCCCACACTGTTCTCCTCAATGTCTCTCACTCAGCCTCCATATTCACCACCCTAGGTTGATGCTCAAGTGAAAGCCAAACCCATCAAGTAGCCCACCTCCCTTGGTGGCCACCTATTTCTCACCTGGCTTATGCTTGATGTTGGTCTTGGAACCGCACTTGGAAGACACCTTAGAAAGGTCAATTTTCTTGTTCTGGATCTGCACCTATGGAAGAGGAGAAGGAAAGAAAGGGACAACTGAGGGAGAAGCAAGTCCAGGTCTTTCCAAAAGTTCTGCAGATGTTTCCAGGGGCCAAGAGTCCCAGATGTTCTCCTCCCACCAGGTCCAAGCTAACGAAGCTGTTCTTCCAGGAACTTGCAAGACACTGGGATCTCCTGCAGCACAGAAACGGGGTTGGCGAGAAGGACCTTCCAAGAGTCCTAAAATGTGAGCAGACTGCCATAAAAAGAGAGTTGGGAGAAGACCTATCCAACGAGAACGGACTTGACTAGCAAGGCCACCCATCCCAACAGCGCTGATCTTCGGACGACGGTCTAGAAATCTCCGACTCCAGAATAGATGTGCTCAGAATATATTTCATGCAAGGGGAAGACCCTCTGCATAATTTATTCCAAAGTGGTGATGGGGTGGGATAAGGACAGAAGGAGAAGGAGAGAAGCTGGAGAGAAGAGGATAGGACCAGATGTAGGACCTCTGGGGGTTTCGAGCTCTTAGAAGATCGGGGAAAGGGCTGAATTCTAAACACCCCATCCCACCCACCAAGCTTGAGCATCAAGTCTCCTCCAATCTTCTCCAGATGTTTCAAGCACCCTCAGGGACCAGCAAGAAATAGGAGACGTTTGGTTACGCAATCCCAACTGCCATTTGGTCTCCTTGCAGGACCAAAAGAACACAAAACCAGAAAGCTGGAAAGAACAATAAAATCCATTGTTTCCGTTGCCGCTAACACCCAAGAGATGTGTTTCCTACATCAATACAACGCAACACACCCCTCTGTGGGCTGGAGGAGAGAGATTCAGGACTCCCTATCCTACTTCTCAAGTCAACCACCTTAGTCGCCCCAGGAAGTTCATGAACATTGGAGATGTTCTTCAGGAGATCAAAGGGACACATCTGGAGTTGGGCTGAGATGGGAGGGTTTTTTTTAGCGTCTGCCCATCTCAAAAGGGTAGACAGTCCGAAGCCCGAGAACCACTATGTCCCATTCTTTGGGTGGGCGCACATGGGTGGGTGATTTGCAGAATCGGTAGAAGAGAATATTTGAAGCTCAGGGTTGAATTGTGGTGGTTTTCTTGCAGATGTCTCGTGACCCAACTAAGTAACAACGCTATAAACAGAGAACAACACCCCCTTCCCTCCTAGCACTGATGATGTTCCCTAGTTGGGTCACGAAAGGTCTTTAAGAAAACCACCAAGCTCAGAGAACACCAAAGACCTCATGACTTAAAAGAATCACGAGGCGTGTGCCCCAAGAGATAATGGCTCTCCAAAAAGTCAAACTCCCCTATGTTGGGAGAAGCGGTGACCTTCGGATAGCGCGAGAACCTCAAAATGGAGAAGCTGGGGCAAGCCATCACTCCCCCCAATATCGCAGGAAGCCCCTGTGACACTGGAGAAACACCATCATGTTTGAAGAACATAGAACGATAGGGTCAGAAGGGACCCTGGAGGTCTTCTAGCCCAACCCCTTGCTCACGTAGAAGACTCTATACCCGTGATGGTGGACCTATGGTACGAGTGCCAGAAGTAGCGTGCAGAGCCTTCTCTGTGGGAAAATGCGCCGTTTCCAGCTGCTTTTCTGGTTTCCGGCACATGTGCGCTGGCCAGCTGGTCTTCGCACGCACTGGATCACCGGAAACCCGAATGCCAGCTGGCCGCCACGCGCATATGCCGAAAAGGTTTGCCATCAGTGCTCTATACCATTCCGGATAAATGATTGTCCAATCTTTTCTTGAAAACCTCAGCGATGGAGCACCCCACAATTTCCCGATACAAATTGTTCCACTGATTAATTGTTCTCACTGTCAGGAAATTCCCCCCTTAGTTCTAGGTTGCTTCTCTCCTTGATTAGTTCCTAGATACTTATGCTACCTGTTGACTCTGCGGAGCTGGCAGCGGAGTCAGACAGTGAGGAGGCTGGGGAGGAACATGGGCCAGTCCTGGCATTTGGAAAAGGCTCGGACGAGGGCTCTGCGTCGGAGGCAGAGAGGGAGCCATTTGGGAGTTATGTTCTGCCTCCGGAGCCTCCAGAGTCGGACATCAGAGAGGCAGAGGAACAGGGGGAGCCAGTTCCCAGTGCACGCATGCACAGAGCTGCCAGAAGGCAAGAACAGTTAAAACAAAAGGGACAACTTGGGAGTAAGGCTTGGAGATGATTGGCCCCTTCCATAAGGCTTAAAAGAGGAGCAAAGGTACGTGAGCCTTTGCAGGAAGCAACTTTGTTCGTTCTGGTTGGTTTGAAGTCTGAAGCTCCATTTTGACTCTGTGCTCTGCGTGGCCTTGCAAAGCTAACTGCCAATTAGGTCTTTGGCAGCGTGTCAAGGGAGATAAGGGTGGGTGCTTATCAGCCTTATCCCGAAGGACTGTGGCAGACTTCTTGTCAGACTCTTTAGCAACTCTTTGTGACTCATTAGCAACAATAATTCACAGCCGTTGAAATAAAAAGAGGGTTTTTGGGACTAATCGTGTGCTTTTTACTGTCTCAGGAAGTCTAGCTCAGGACACTACCCTCAGTGCTTTGGAGAATAGGTTGACCCCTTCTTCTCTGTGACAGCCCCTCAAGTACTGGAAGATGCTACCACGTCACCCCTAGTCCTTCTCATCGCTAGACTAGGCAAGTTTCCACAACCATCCATCATACACTTCAGCCTCCAGCCCCTTGATCATCTTTGTTGCTCTTCAGCAAAGTGGGTTTCTCTCTTCATCCACCCTCTCCATCTCTCAGCAGATCATGGTTCTCCAACAGTCAAAACTCTCATATTTTGGGAGAAGGGGTGACCTGTTGGTAGCAGGAGAACCTCAGAGACAGATGACGTTGGAAGAGCCATTTTCTTCCCCAAGAGTTGAGTTGGCAGGACCAAGGTCCTAGACCTAAAAGGTCCTATGACACTGGAAGAAGGTGGAAACATCAAGTCACTTGACCAAGAAAGTCCTATGAACCTGGATGAATGTAGAAACTCCGTAACATCAAAACTCACTTGGCCAAGGACGTCTTATGACACTCAAAAAAGGTGGAAACTCCATAATATTAAAGTCACTTGGCCAAGAATATCCTATGAACCTGGATGAAGATGGAAGCTCCATAACATCAAAAGTCACTTGGCCAAGGACGTCCTATGACACTGGGAGAAGGTAGAAACTCCATAACATCAAAAGTCACTTGGCCAAATCTAGTGATTCTACTCACATTGGTACAGCCCCGGCTGGGCTTTGGGTTGGTCGATGGCTGGGTTTTGTTGCCTGAAGCTGGTTTGGGGAGATTTTGGACCTGAAAACAATAGATACTTTACTCTGTGAGCTGAGCAGTTGGACAGACTGATTGGCGGACGACGGAGAAGGAAGGAAAGAAGGAAGGAAGGACAGTGGGAGGAGAAGAAAAAGGAAGATCGTCAAAGGAGCTTCCTGGAGGAGACAGAATGAGACCATTCAATGGAAGGAACGAAAGGATTTTGCACATAAATCTGGAGATCGTCTGGAATTGATTGGCAATTATGATTATTATTTTTCGGAGAGGGGGAAGAAGTCCTAGAGATAGACAGACAGAAAGAAAAAAGGATAGCAACATTTGTCAAATCAGGTCGAAAGTACAAAAAAACCCAACAATTTATACAGACATGTTTGGGAGCAGCAGACAACCCCTGGAATGGTGGTTAAAAGAAGTTCCAGGCATCATGGTACCAGGGAAGGAGGAACCTTTGGGGAGCTACCGAACATGAAGGTAGATGCTGGACCTTGAAGGAGGCCTCTTGAGGATGGGTGGACTTCCAGAATTCCCCAGCTGGCAATGTCCATACATCTGAAAAGGGACCGAGTTTCATCCGGATTGAGGGGCCGGTCACAGATTACGTGCATCTTCTGGTTCTTCTTCTGGCTTTCAGAGAAGTTCCTCCTCTGGAGAGCACTGAAGAGATGAGCGAGGCAGTGCGGCTCAACTTTGGCCACTGGAAGATCGGTGGACTTCAACTCAAAAGAATTCAAGGTCAACTTCATCCATCCCATCTATGCTGTTGTGAACCATCCAGAGACAATCAGGTGAGATGGGCGATGTGGGATGGATGGATGGATGGACTGAGAATCAAACAATCGAGCTGTCTGTCTGTCTATCATTTATCTATCATTCTATTGTCTATATCAGGGGTCTCCAACCTTGGCAACTTTAAGACTTATGGATTTCAACTGGCTGAGGAATTCTGGGAGTTGAAGTCCACAAGTCTTAAAGTTGCCAAGGTTAGAGACCCCTGGTCTATATCATCTGTCTATCTAAATGTATGTATGTATGTATGTATGTATGTATGTATGTATGTATGTATGTATGTATGTATGTATCTACTTACCTATCTACCTATCTACCTATCTACCTATCTACCTACCTACCTACCTACCTACCTACCTACCTATCATTCTATGGTCTATATCTATATATTATCTCTGTCACTCTCACGCTCTCTCGCTCTCTCGCTCTCTCATTCTATCTATCTATCTATCTATCTATCTATCTATCTATCTATCTATCTATCTATCTATCTATCATTCTATCGTCCATATCTATATATCATCTCTCTGTCGCTCTGTCTCTCTCTCTATCTATATCCATCCATCTTTATCTATCTGTCTGTCCATCTTTCTATGATCTCTCTATCTTCCAGGCATCTTTTATCTAGTATCTCTCGCAGCATTGGCCAGGGAATTCTGGGAGTTGAAGTCCTTAGATCTTCAAGCGGCCAACTTTGGAAAAGACCGACTGAGGGGATGAAGCTACGGCATATACTGTATGTCATCTGCTCAGAACGAAGAGACGCCACTTTGGAGGTGAACTCAAGGCCCAACTGGAGAAGGGAGAAATCCTCCTCCCATGGGAGTCTTCTTCTCAGGGGTATCCATTCCAGTTGGCAGGAGATCCTGGTTGGACTCCCCCAACTTGTAAAACGTAGACCTTCAAGAGGTCAGTAGCTTCCTTTGCTATTGTCCGCGTGACACGTCAAAGAATTGGAAAAGGAGCTTGATTGAAATGAACCAGATCTGGCCCTGATCCTGGTGAACCAGGTGGGATCTCAAGATCTTTGGTGGACGTCAATAAGGGCTCCTCTCCAGAGAAGCCCCATTGTGGAACCAAATTCTCCAGGGCACAGAAGTGGTGGGATACCCAGAACACAATTTAGTTCTCCTGACCTGGGTGGGCTTCTACAAGGTAGACTCTCAAAAGTCCACGATTCGTAGTTTGATTGACTCCTTACTCCTTGCTCAGTGGCTTAAGGCAGGTAGCCTCCTCTTTCACCATGCCTGCCCCCTCAGATTCTCCTAAGTCACGCCTCCCTTCTAAAACACAAACCAGCTTTGAGAAAACAGCGACATTCCCTACTTAGGCACCCCGAGGTGATCTTCTCCTTGCAGACCCCTGCTGTCACACACACACACACCTATGTGTGTGTGTAGTGGTAGGTATGCTGTACGTACCTACCACCTATATGTGTATCATCTATCATCCATCCATCTCTCTGTCCATCATCTCTCCCTCATCTCTCTCTCTCTCTCTCTCTCTTTCTCTCCCTCCTTTTTCACTCAATTCCCAGGTAGCCTTCACCCTTTCTAGAAAAATCCCCACACAAAACCTCAAAGTTTTCAGCTTGGTCCCGATCGTAACCTACCCAAATCCAGATGTCGGTCCTTCCCTCCCCCTCCCCCCCGCAGATACTCGGGGGATGGGGGGCAAAGATTTACTCCCCCCCACTTCCCCAGTAAATACACACACACACACACATACACACACACAGATATACATACACAGGTAGGACAACTCCAGAGTCGAAATGAGTACATCGAAGAAGAGGAAGAGGAGGAGGAGGAGGAAGAAGAGTTAGTCAGGAGGAAGAAGAAGAAGACAACTGCCCTCAGGTCCTGATGTACTTACATTCCCACCTCCAGGGACATGCTTAATATTGTCCTTGGATCCACATTTGGACTGGACGTGGCTGTAGTTCGCTTTTTTGGAGAGTATCTGGACCTGGAGTGTCAACAGAGATGGAGAGAAGGACACAAAGGGAAAAGGACTGGTTAGGTTTATCTCTCTCTCTCTCTCTCTCTCTCTCTCTCTCTCTCTCTCTCTCTCT